CATTCTTTTTCGTAGAAGATATATTAGGAACTTTCACGAATAAATAAAAAAAATTTTTTGAAATTTTGAGAATTTGAAAAAAAGTAAAACCAAGCTCATCGGATTTGAGATGAGCCCCAAAATCCTCCCCTTGCCTTTGGAAGGAAAATTGGAGAACGCCCAAGAAGAAGAAGCACCCGCGGAACGACAATAGATCGGTTACATGCGCCGATTCTCACTATTTGTTTATTCTACCCCCTCGATGGACCGACTTTTTCTTGTTTTTCCGCCTTCAGTGGCCTCGGGAGAGGAGTCGCTACAATGAAATAATACATTGGGGGGGCGGATGAGCTCCGAAGGAAATTGTTGAAAGGAAGAAAGAGGAGCGGAACCGTTTCTGGTCGGGCGGCAGGCATGCTCGCCTGTTTGATCTGTCGGATTCTGGATTTATGTCGAGCCTATTGCTCAGATTTGCTGAGGTTAGGGTCGAATATTCATAGGATGAAATTTCACTTCATAATTTCTCACAAATCGTTTCTCGTTTTCATAACTATTGCTCATATTAGCTCAAGTTACTGTTTTTTTCTCATGTAGTAGAGACTTAACATAACCTATTATGGTGTTGTTCATTTTGATCTGTGCTTCTACAACTCTGTTGCTCATTTTAGCTCAAGTTACGGCTTCTTTCCCAGACTTGACATAACCTTCTATGGTGTTTGTCATTTCGACCTATGTTCCTAAAACGATGTTGCTCATCTTAGCTCAGTCTGACCCTTTATTGTTACTTTCGAATCGAAGCCTTCTTCTCACGAAATTTCGCCCTACGATCGTAAAAAATAACATGAACCCATAACATGAGCAATAAATCCTCATATTCAATTCCCCCTTCTGCAGAACCCACATTGGTTCCGATTCATTTGCACCTTCGGAAAAAAGAAGACTTGTTTTTGGTCTTCACGGCGGCGGATTAACGTCACTTTGGGCCAAGAAGGAGAAGAAGACGTTAGTCTGCTTCTGAAGTTTTCACTATAATCGGCTCAGGAAAACTGGTCCAGCTTAAAAGTTTGAAAAAAACTAGATTAAGTTGAAGTTTCTGGTAGGAGCTTTTTGACAGACAAAAGTTCACTCCAGTGCTTAAAGATGCTCTCATGCGCAAGTCGTTTGGGGTCGGACGCACTTTGGTTCAACCTTGTGATTTTGAGCCATTCCAAGTGCGACCACGGCGTTTCTAGACGATATGAACAGAATATTTTTACAAGCGCACTTTCTCCCCTTCCCCAAGAAATCCCCCAGGCTAAATGAAATGAGAAATGGACATAATTATACAGTATACAACTTCTCCGCGTGAGACCCCGCTGCGCCTTTAATAAGACGTTTCAACGTACTCTCTAATCTCTGGACTGAATGCCCATTGTTATGAAAGTGGAATGAAGAAAAGGCCGGTTGATTTTGAAAAGGCGGCGATGGATAATCCGCGCCCGAGGGAGAAAATTTTCAAGTTTTACTGGAGATTTGCAAAGAGTCGCTCGTTTTCAAATGCAAAAGTCACATTGGAAGCTCGAGAGTTTTTGAAAAAATTCAAGAGTTCAAGGCGTTTCCTTTCTCAAAAAAGTATGACTTTTTATTCCTTTTCTTCATCACAACAATAGATGAGAATACTTTCTTTTTCCCAGTCTCATACTTTTTTTCTTTCAAGTGGCCGCCCCTCAATATCCTTTTGGTTTTCCGACCGATATGTTGGAAAAATATTTGACCCAGTGAAAACCACTTGATGGACACTTCCGAGATCCTCGTTCTCTTCTCACTTTCTTGTCGTTTTTTGAGTTTTTCGTTGCTCATATTAGCTAAAAGATGACGTCATTCTTGATGGAATATATGACGTCATTTAGAAATAATCTGGTGACGTCATTAGGCCGCTATCATCATCGAAGTTTTATTCTACATTTTTCACTCGTGTGATTTGTAGCTACGGCATAAACTATATATTGCTTCTTATTGCTCATGTTAAACTTGAACTTAATTATGACGTCATAGTCGATAATTTTCTGACGTCATTGAAGGTTAAGCTTTTGGCGTCATCATTCTCAATGAAGAGTATGACTCTCAAAAGTGTATGAAGTCACTTTCAAATAGCTTACTGTTGCTCATATCAGCTTGGAGTTTTTCTAATGACGTCATAAAATTCAAATTTTTGTTTCGGCGCTTTCAAAAACCGTAAAAAGAACTTTCTGACATTTCAAGGCAACTATTTGACGTCATCAAGCGACAATGACGTCACTTTCAAATTGCTTATTATTGCTCATATCAGCTTGGAGCTTGTTGATGACGTCATAATTTTCAACTTTTTGTTTCGGCGCTTTTAACAATTGTACTAATAGCTTTCTGACAATTTAAGGTAACTATGTGACGTCATCAAGTGTCAATGACGTCATAAACTTTAAGTAACAGTGACGTCATCAAAGCTTTCTTGCTCATTTTTTAAAGTAGAACCCTCTTCGGACTGTTAATAGACCGCTGAAGAAGCTGTATTGCTCATCTTAGAGTTCCATAACTCATTCTAGACAGTCAAGTTACAAAGGTCACCAGTTAATTCCGTCTTTATCTCTCACTAACATGAGCAATAAACGGTTGGTGATTTCCGGCCACCACCCATCGTGCAGAAGAAGTGTGTGTCCAGCGGCTTTCGAGCCCTTTCCCTCCGGCACCGACTGATTTTCTTGTCGTTTTTGTTTCTGTTCGCATTTTAAAGGCTTAGACATTCCTTAGCTCTAACTTGATTTTTTACAATTTATCGATTTTTTTTTTGTTGTTGTTGTTGTATTTTCAGTGGAAAGTTACTTCAGAAGCTTATTTTAGGTCATTTCTTTTTTCATTTTTTAAAATTTTTTTTTGATACTTTCTAATAATTAAACTATGATTTGGAGCTCCCAGAACATTTTGAACCCCCTAAACTTTGTTTTTTTCTCCCTTTTACCGTTTAAAACCGAACGCTTTAGACCAAACACGGCGAAATCCCCGCACGACTATTTGGTCTTGCGCTTTTTTCCCCCACCTGTCGTACCTGAAAAGCTGAAAAACAAGAAAAGCTGGCAAGAAGAAGGGTTCAAAAAACTCAAGAGTGAAAGGGAGTCGGTCATTTTTTTTTCCACAAAAAAACTGTTATTCAAGTCTTTTTCCCATGCAACACGGTACAGGAGCTTCTGTGCTTTTTGGTATGTTTGAAATTTAAAAAATAATCTTGCAGTCGAAAGGTTGAAGCTCCTGCTGTCAATTTGAAGCTCTCTGGTTCGATCCCCTTTGCGGTTTTCGTTTTTGCCAGAACTTCTGAGCGCTTTTTTGAGTTTTAAGTATGATCAAAGGACCCTCCTGTCCAGTGAACCTCCCAGGTTCATTTCTCTCCAATTTCTCAATTTTTTGCCTTTTTTGAGCTTCATCATCAAGTCCTTTGTCATTAACCCCACGATCTCTGGTTGGATTTTTTTCCCCCGTTTTTGCCAATTCACGCGCATGTTCGAAAGCTCAAAAGTTCCATTTTTATGTTTGCTCTCGCTTTTTTTTCCCGAGTTAAATGTTTCCAAGCGTTTTCTAGTTTTGCTCCCAAGGACAGTGGTTAGTTCACCGTTCTTAACAATCGAGAACTCCTTGGTTCGATTCCTGTCTAGGGGAATTTTTTTTCGCCATTTTAAGGATAAAGATTTGTAGTATGATCTTATTAGAAGCTGATTCTATCTTCTCCTAATGTCATGTATTGTTTTTTTTTTTGAAATATTTTTCGTCCAGGACAGCTCGAACTTTGAAACCCTTTTCTAGAATTTGTTCCAGAAAGGTCTAATTTTGAAAACTTTTGGACTCCTTTTTCTGGTATTTTTTTTATCTTGACCAACCAAAACCAAATTCCCTATCAATTCAGTGAAAAGTTGATGAGAGATTTTCAAACCGCGACGCGACCGCGCCGCTCTAAGCCATTCCAAATGTTACCAGAGTGAAAAACGTTCTAAAAAAATTTCTGAAGGTTCATTTGAAGATCCATCAATGTTGCAACCGGCACCAGCTTCTAGTTTTCAAGATAATTAATTTTTAAGGTCTTAAACTTAGGCCTGAAACCTTGAAAAATTTTAAAGTTGATGGAAGTTTTCCGAACCGCGACGCTTGAAGCCATTCCAAATGCCACCAGTATGACTTTTTTTATGCCGAAAAACCGCATTTTTACCAACTTTTGATTGACTTTCTCTGATAGGTAGATGAATTTCAAAGAAGTTTAGTTCCAAGGGGCTTCAATCACTGTTTTCAAGACCTTTCAACTGCTTGAAAATCAAGAAATTTCGTGAATTTTCTCTTTCGAATCCAGTATCTTTCTCCTATCAATCCAATGCCCATTCTCGGTGCCAAAACACCGCAAAAAAAAAAACAGCAATCCGACGGATCGAAACGAGTCTCCGGAAGCGGCAGGCGGCGTTTCAATGAAAGATGAAAAATCGGGCGCCGCCGGCACGGAATAATCCAAAGAACAAATACGGAAAAGCGTCAAACACGGGAGCGGAGGACTCGCGGAGCCGCCGCTGGAATGAGTGGCCGAAATCTTTTTTTTTTGCCTTTTTTTTCCGCGTGGTCCCTCACACACAACTCATTCCGCGGCGCTTTTTTGACGTTGCTTTACGTCGCACGTCGGGCCGCCGGCCACTTGACCGCCGGCTTTTGTCTCCCATTTTACGTGTCTTTTTGATTTTTTGCTTGGTTGGGGTGTTCGCGGTTTAGTGGATAAGTTCTTAGTAGTTGGCTCAATTTTTGGCTTTTTTCGATTTTTTCGATTTTGGCTTCTTCAAGTTGGTTCATCTTTGTCGGTGTTGATTTTGCTTCAATTTTGGAGATTATTTGGTTTTTTTTAAACGGCTTGCGGATGGTACTACTGAGCATGGGGAAAGTTGCAGAATGAAAAAAAAAAAGCTTTTTCGGACATTGGTAACGCGAAACGGACGTGTTCCGAACGTTTCTGAGCGATTCCAGGGACCCCTTAAGAGTGCTCACGCTACTGAAGTGATCCCTAGAAAGGCTCGGAAGCACGTCCGTTCCGCGTTACCACTTTCCGACAAAGCTGTTTTACCCATGCTCAATAATACCATCACGACGCAAGCCGTTTCAGGTCGGACGCATTTTCCAACTTTTGAAAGATCGTAGTAGCTCTAGCGTAGTTAACATCCTTTCCACTAGGTTTTACTTATTTTTTGATTTGGTTTTGAAAATTTTACTCAAGTTGATTCCAAAAGCTCCAAATCTTTTATCGGCTTGAAATTATCGAATTTTTTTCAGATCTCTGATACAAATTTTAGCTTTTTTTCGACTTTTTTTGAAAAATCGCTTCAGTTTGAAATTTTCGGATAACCTTATTGATTTTTTTCAAAAAAATCATATTCTGAAAAAGTTTAGGTAAATGCCAAGATTCTCAATTTTTTTCCGTATAGTATCTTTTTTTGAAGATATTTTTTTCTATTCTGAGGGGTTGCGAGTTGAATCTGAAGTTTCTAACGTCTTCATAATTTTCAACGACTCTAGCCAGAATCTTGTCTTGATTCAACAGGTGGATCTATCGGTTGTAGACCATTTTGGCCACTGACAAAACCTACACTTCTGAACTTGCAAGTCCATCTCCATACAAGGGAGCTTCTCAGAAGAGCAAGCTTCCCCTCGGTGTTTTTTCAGTGTTCAAGACTTTTTATTTCGCACTCGGAGGTCTTCAAAAAGAATCACCTGACCTGAAATCCTCCCGAACCTGAGCAACCTCTGCCTCAGAACCGCCATGCCGACTGCCACGCTATGGCGATTCTGAAAGCGACGCGCTCGTAAATCCGCCGCCGACGACGCCACCGTGAAACGTATGGCGTCAAGGTGAAGAACACCCCCCATCCGACTTTTAATCCCTCAAAAGTCGACCTGTTCTCTTATTTATTTATTTTCCGACTTTTTCCTTTTTTCTCAATTTGGGTACAAAGTGAACAAGGGTGTACTATAGAGCTTTTTGATCTTTGAAATTATGACTATTTTGGGGGATAATTATTTTAAGATTTATGAGCCACTCACTCATCTTGAGCAATTTTTAGCTACTATGAGCAATGTTTTTTCTCGTTTTTACGGAATTTTTGAATCCAGCAAGAGGTCCTATTCAGACGTTTTTTTTTCGTCTTAGCACTTCTGAGCAAACATGAGCAATATTAAAATGAGTAATGATGAGCTAGACATACTCATCAACTTCCATTTAAATATTGTCAGTGCAAAACTTATGAGCCCCTTACTCAGCTTGAGCAGTTCTTAGCTACTATGAGCAATACCTTTTCTCGTTTCTACGAATTTTTTGAATCCAGCATGAGAACCTATTCAGACGTTTTCCTTCTGGGCACTACTGAGCAAACATGAGCAATAAGAAGTTTCTGGATTCTCTTAACTGAGTGCCATACCTTGCCGCGAGGCATTGCAGTTATCTATAACCTGAGACATACCCAGCTAACTTGAGCAACACCATGTAATACTTGAACTCTGAACCTTTCAGATCTCTTCAACTCGAGCCATACCTAGCTAACATTAGCAACACCATGTGATACCTGAACTCTGAGCATTTCAGATCTCTACAACTCGAGCCATACCTAGCTAACCTGAGCAACACGCTATCTCGAGCGAATCTTGCCCGATTTTCCCCTCCATTTCGCCTATTCATCCCTCCCACCGCCTCTTTGTTGGTTTTTTACGGTTGCCGCTTGATTTTGACCTTCGGGAGAGTTTTAGGGCCTTTTACATTCATTCAGTTTTATTATCCATTCATCGCTCCTCCGTATGATTTGCTTTTGATGCGTTCTGGACCGTACGTTGATGTGAATTCTGAAAAAAAATATGGGAGGCGGGAACTGTTCCAGAAAGTTTCGGGACAAGTTTTTGGTCAGTTTATCTGGAAAATGTGCTGGAAAACTGGAATCATTGCTTTTGAAGCGCGAAATATCGTTGACTCTGCTTTAGTTTGAGGAAAATTGGCAAGCCTAAGCCAGCAAAAATCTAGGCAGGGGCCGATCCAGTGACCCTTTGACTCGAAGCAAAATTTTTTTTACCTTTCTCAGTCAGTTTCGACTGGAAAATTGATCGGAAAGACAGTGGAATTTGAAGAAAATAGCAAAAAATTGAGCTGGAGCCGTACCCGTGACCTTTCTGGTGCTAATGGGGGTATTTAGCCGTTAGGTCAGGGCTTTTAAAAAAAATCGGACACTGGTAATGCGAAACGAACGTGCTCCGGTCGTTTTTGAGCCCTATAGGGACCACTTAAGAGTGCTTACACTACTGAAGGGATCCCTAGAAGTGCTCAAAAACATCCGGAGCATGTTCAATTTGCGTTACCAATGTCCGAGATTTATTTGGTATGACCCATGTTTCAGAAAAGAGCATAGAAAAAATGGCAAAAAAACATCCGCCCTGGACCAGATTCGAACCCAAGACCCTTTGATCAATGATCAGCACCAGTTTCTCGAAAAAATCATCATTTTTCCTGCACTCTTCTAGAAATCCTCGTGTTTGTTTGTGCCATTTGCACGAGACGGTACAATACAAGGCATAATCCCGAAATAATTGCACCTGAGCGCCTTCTGATCCGACGTCGACGTCTTCATGACGACGCAGCCGGTCAGATTACCCAGTCGTAAACACTCGAAGAAAATTCAAGATTTTTGAGTTTTTCAGTGTCCTTGTTTAAGTTCTCCGAGTCTGCAAAAGTAAGTTTCCTGAGCTCGGAATAAACTTTTGGCCTTTCGAACCTTAACTAACGGTTTCAACCATCTTGACGTCCTAAAGATCCCCTTTCTGTTCGCGGTCCTCATTGAAAAGTGAGGTTGACTTCAAGCTTGAAAGTTTATTCTTTTTGGCCTCACATTGGAACTTTTTCTTCCTTCCTTATTTACCGACGAAATTTTGTGATGAACACATTCTTACTGTCTATTGAAGTTCATTGAGCCTGAAAAAGTCGAAAATCTTGCTCGGAACGACATAATTTCAAAATTTCAAGCCTTTTTTTCTCAATCCTTCATAATTTCATCCAAGAAAAAAATGGCAAAAAAAAGTTGTACCAAGATAGATTCGAACCTGCATCATATGTTCCACAGCGCAAGGCCGCTAGCCACTACACTACGCTGCCGGAAGGAGTCCCCGCAACAGATTCTTCCTTCCATTCAATGCATTTTTCGCGTGCAAACTTTGAGACGCCGTAACTCGACTAGAACCGAAAAAGCGCACTTTTTCTCAACTTCTTTGGATTCAGCGTGTTCGAAAGTACCTGTATACCAAGTTTCATCAAATTACAATTCCTCGACATTTCGCACTTCCCGTGTCAACTCAACCGTTAGAGTCTCAGTATAATAGAAGAAGTTTGAGCTACCGATCCAAGGATCGTTAGATCGGACCGTTCTGCAGATCATTTTTTTTGTTGTTAAGTGATAGATGTAATCGACCAGGCGGTGAACAAGAACTTTTGACCGTCTTTGGCGAACCAGAAGTCCAAACGTGTAGTTGATCAACTTGGAAGTATGGTCTTACGGTTCTTCGCCTTGACGATCCCAGATAGTAGCTGATCTTGTGCCCGGAGACCGTCCTGGAAGCCTCGGAATGAGAGCGACCGTGAAGATTTCACTCGGAATCCATGCTCTTCAGTGTAGCTTTTCTTCCCCCATTTTAATTAAACATCTTTTTGGTAATTTATATTTTTGGTGGCCCTGAAACGTATTCACACCTGGATGGTTCCTCCCAGGGTTTTCCTGAAAATTGGCTAGAATTGATGTACCAGAAGAAGTTTCTGAAAGGCTTATTTGCGTCCCTGGATCTGATTCCGCTCCAAGGGTCGCTGGTTCGACTCCTCTTCAGCGTAATTTTTTTTTGCCATTTTTCAGTAGACATCTTTTTTGGTAATTCTTATTAGTATTGAGATTCTAGTACCCAAAATTTTCGTGAAAAAAATTTTGGGTGGTCTTGAAACGTTTTCCCCTGGATGACTCCTCAAGGAAGGTCATTTTACTTTGCGGTTTGGATTTCCCTGAAAATCGGTCAGAATTCTCTTTGGTCTAATAGAAAAAAGGTTCCGAAAGTCTCAATTTGCAAAATCTTCGCGTTTTTGAAAAAAAGATGCCTTAAAATCTATAAAATGGGCTATTTTGAAGCCTGGGTCTTTATTTCTCGAAAACTAGGAAGTTTTGCAGGTTGAGACTTTCAGAATCTTCATCTGGTACATCATGAAGTGTTCTGACCAATTTTCAGGAATTTCCCAACCTGTTAAGCTAAATACCATTTTTGCCCTTTTCTACTGAATTTTACTGTCCTATTCTTAATGCTAGGCTCTGGCCAGAAACCGGTAATTTATATGCGTTCCTGGATCTGATTTGCATATCTTTTCAAGGCCCTTGACCTGGCCGATGAGGCGGCACTTTAACGCCTGGTCAAGTGGCTAAAAAGCTTGGTTCTGGTCGTATTTTATGGTTTCTGGTTCAGTGAAATGGAAAAATGGCAAAATTCCTCGAGAGGGATCGAACCAGCGAGCTTTTTTCTTGTAGCAGGAGCTTTTTTTTTTAGGGTTTTCTTAGGGTTCTGACGTTTTAGAGGTCACTTAAGGGAAATTTTTGAAATTTGCTGGCCTCTTTAGGAGTCTGTGGTAGTACTAGACCACTAAAACTACTGTAGTGGCCACTCTAGGGTATTCTCCAACTCCTTGAGGAGCCACTTAAGTGACTAAAACTTATTGGCATCTTTTGGAGTGTAAACGGTACTACTAGATCACTGAAAACTGTCATAGTGGCCACTCTAGGGTATTCTCTAAGTCCTTGAGGAACCTCTTAAGTGGCCACTAGATCACAACTGCCACAGTGGCCACTCTAGGGTATTCTCTAAGTCTTTGAGTGGCCACTTAAGTGACCAAAACTTATTGGCCTTTTTAGGGGTCTAAGTTTTAATACTAGATCAATAAAACTACTGCTGGCCACTTCAGTATCTTCTCCAAACCCTTGAGGAACCTCTTAAGTGGCCACTAGAGCTTTTTAAGTACCATTTTTACGGAGACGGCTTTGGTTAGACCAACGACTCAAAATCACTCTGGAAAATTGATTCTATCGAAAAAGGTGTCGTAAAAGCCCACAGATCAACCTTTTTCAATCAAGCCACCGGTTTTTTTCTTCTTTCTCCGAAACTGTTCAGACTACAAGTGGCTGAACTGTTCACACTTTCCAAGCCATTCTCGACAAATTATCGCCAATCTCAATCTCCTTTCAATCCTCCCTTTTTTTGCGCCGCAATCATTGGCTGCCGAACTCGCTAAATCGTTTTTTTCGGGAATTTCCGAGTGGGCGGAGCTTCGGATGCGCGCATTTCATTGTTATCGCGTGTCCATTTTGCCCTTGTTTGGGGTGGCTTTTTTGCAATTTTTTTTTCTAATTTTGAGGTGAAGCCTTGTAAAAATCTACAGTACAGAGAAAATTTGTTGTTTGAATTACTGTTAAAAATTTAAAAATTGGATTTTTCTTGGGGGTTTTTTCCGTCACAGTTTTATTAACTTTTAAAGAGGTAATTCGAACTTTTTTTCCAAGTTCTGAGAGGTTTTTATATTTCAGGATCTCAGTAAATCATTAGAAATTGATGGAGCTTCGAAAAAATTCTGCAATTTTTGAACTTTCAAAGAACTTTCTGGCTCATTCTACAATTCCAAATGATTTTTTTCGAATTTTTATTCCGTTTATTGAAAAATAGTCGTCTCTGAGAGTAAAAAAATGTAACGATTTTCATTCAAAAATGATGGTTTTTATTTGACAGTTTTGAAAAACGAATAGTTTTATGCGGCGTTTTTTTATAGTTGATCCGTTTTTTTATATGTTCATATATCTGATTTTTTTGAACCTTTTGGACGATCCATTTGGCTCAAAATTGGTAATTTCCCCCATTTTCTGTGCCTTTTGGCTCCTAGATCAGATTACAGATTCAATCAAGCTTTAGAATTCCGAAATTTCAAACTTTTCAATTTGTTTCTCTCAAACTATTAACCATCTCAATCAATCAATCAATCAATAATTATTGGTTGTTTTAGTCAGTTTTTTACTCACTTTTTGAAAGAATAGCACATGAAAATCGATTTCGAACCCGGTCGATCAGGCCAAAAACACTCGAAAAGCGTCTTCCTTGGTCATGGAGGAGAAGTTTTTTCGAGTGGTAGGGAAAAGGAACGAGTTCAAGGAGGATTTTTGAGAGAATACGGCAAAAATCAATGGGGGAATTGAACCTGAGGCTTGGAAAATGGTTAAAAATAGCCCAAGCTATGGAATTTATATAATAAAAAATGGCAAAAATTAGCTTGACCTCGAGTGGTGTCGAACCTGCGACTCTGAACCAAGCGTTTTTCGAATCGAGGTAATTGAAAACCTTGTAGTGAAGGTTTTCTAGTAGGAATTTTTTGAGTTTGAGAAGACAGGGAAATGGCAAAAATTTCCTGGACCTCGAGGGGAGTCGAACCTGCGACCCTTGAGAAATGGCAAAAATTAGCCTGACCTCGAGGGGAGTCGAACCTGCGACTCGTGAACCAAGCGTTTTTCGAATCGAGGTACTTGAAAATCTTGTAATAAAGGTTTTCTAGTAGGAAGTTTTCGAATTTTAGAAATAAGGAAATGGCAAAAATCAGCTAGACCTCGAGAGGAGTCGAACCTGCGACCCTGGAACCAAGCGTTTTTCGAATCGAGTTCATTGAAAACCTTGTTTTTCTTGTCAAAATTTATGAAATAATAATAATTATTAATTCACGTCTGACGCGGATAGGAACCGAACCTATAACCCTTATAACTTCTAAGCTTTTGAAGCTTTTATCCAACAATTTGAGTTCCATAAACATTATTGACCCTTTGTTATCACTAAAACCAAAGAAAAACAAATTTTGAGTCAACAGAAAATATATTCCACCACAAGGAGTGATTATTATTTGTGCTTGACCAGGGGAGAAATCTCGTTTTTCTTTCTCGATAATGTTGATATCGGCTTGTCACGTCTTGTATATCATCAGCGCGACTTTCCTCGCACAAATCATTCCTGAATTTCCCGCGACTTTTGATTTTTCCGGCTTCTTTTAAAGGTTGGAAATGAAATTTTGGCTTGGATTTTAGTTGGGATGAAGCTTTTTTTGAAAAAAGATTGATAATTTGATCAATCGATAGCTATCCACTTGACTTTACTCACTGGTCCCTTATCTTGATTTTTTTTAATTGCAAAAAAAGTTCCACCAGCCTTGGGATCGAACCTTTGATCCTTTCAACCTCGTATAACTCTCTTAGCCACTTTACCAAGCCAATTAAACTGTTTTTTGACAATAATATTCGCTGAATGTTTAATAAACGTGAAGAGGATCCGATCCAGTGACCTTTTCAGCCTTAACCAAGCTTCTTAGCCACTTGACTAAGAACAAAAACCTTGGGAAAGTGTTCCAGAAGTAGCTGGAAAAGCAATTTTAACCAACTTGAGCTTGCAAAAAAATTACCAGTAGTAGATTCGAACCCCTGACCCCTCCAACCTCACAAAATCATCTTATCCACTTGACCATTTTTTTCCGAAACTCTCAACTCATTTTTCGAAATTTTCATTTTTTTTTCCCAGCGATAATCGACCTTGGAGGCGTCCTCTTGTGTTAATTTATACCGTTTTAATTTGAATGATGATGTATTCGCGACCTTCTAACTGATCGTATCTTATCGTTTTGTGCGTGAAATTGAGGAAATTTAGGTCGTTGCGATAAATTCTTGAAGTTTTTTTTGTGAGAAAAGTTCGAATTTCTGGCCATTTGAAGTTTTGAAGCCTTATGAACTAGGGCTGTTTTGAAATTTTTTGAAAACTAAAAAAAAAGCAACCTAGAGAGTACATGAGTCTATGCAACATGGCAATGCTCCTTTTGAAGATTTTAGGATTTTTTTTGTGATTCAAACTCTTCCCCCCATGAAGAATATAGATATTTTCCTCGAGAGGATCCGAACCTGTGACCCTTCTCACGTTGTGTTGTTTCGAGATATTTTAAACCCCCCTCTTGAAAAAAATCGAAGTATTTTTCGACTGGAGGATCCAACCCTCCCCCTCCCTTCATCATTTTCTGATTTTTTTCTGGATCAAACCCCCCGCTTGAAAAAAATTGAAATATGTTCGTCAGGAGGATCCGAACCTGTCACCCATCTGACGCCAAAAAAATTACCTTACCCCCCCATCATTTTCTGATTTTTTTCTAGATCAACCCCCACCATGAAAAATTGAAATATTTTCGTCAGGAGGATCCGAATCTGTGACCCGTCTCACGTTGTGTTGTTTAGAGATTATTTAACCCCCCTTTTTTTTTCCGAAAAATGGCGATTTTGTCCATAGAGCACCTTTACTGCAAAACGCGCTTTTTTCTCCGAAACCATACATGAGCTCTCCGTTTCAGATAATTTGTCAACCTATTTACTTCTGACTTACTCTTGCCCATGTATGCTATATCTAAAGCATGGATAGCTAAGGGGGGGGCGTGGCCTGTCTGCGCTCTCCACTATCCAGGCACTATCTCGTGCATTATCGTGTCAGGACCCTTTTTTGGATGGTTTCCCTCATCAGACTTCAAAATGAATGAAAATTGGCAAAGGCCAGATACGAATTCTCAACACCAATCTCTCCCCAATGACTCACTCTCGTGTCGTTTCCGCTATTTTCACTATTTCAAACCGTGAAACGTACAATTTCCCCCCATTTTTCATCTGAAGATTTTCAGAATGGAGTACATCGAAGACTGGGTCGACCGGGCGCTGTCCTGCTTCTACAGGCAACACGACAAAGACGACCCTCCGCCTGGGAAAGTTCACGACGGTTTGGATGTCGACGAGCTGAGCGCCGAGGAGCTGGAGAAGAACTTTGTGAATCTCGTGGTGGGTAGTGTCATTGGATAGAGCTGAAGAAGTCGGTTCGAATGGTATAGATCTTGAAAAGACTGGTTCTGATGGAGTGAAAATATATTGGGTCCAAGATAGAAGATGTGCTAGTTCACCACTAGAAAGATCTAAAAAAAAACGAATCTGATCATTTTTTCAAAAAGACGTCTTTATAATACAATAAGAATGAAACGAATAAATTTCTTATTAAATTTTTAAAAAAATAGACCCGAAAAATTCTAGTTTTCTTCTAGTGGTTTGTACTGTTAGAAGCGGAAAGGAGGGTTTTGAAATTCCAGATTTTGATAAAAAAAAAAAGAAGTTTTTTTATGGTTTGAAAAAAAGTTTGAATGTAAAAAACGACAGTTAAGATTTTTAGAACGATCAGAAAAATCAAGAAAAAATTGCTCTACTGGGAGAATTTTTAGGGGCCACTTTAGGGTTTTCAAGTTTTAGTGGCCACTTTAGTAGTCGAATTAGTGGCCACTCAAGCGACCAAAACTTAGTGACCTCTTAAGGGGTCTAAATGGTCCTTCTAGTCCACCTGAAACTACTATAGTGACCACTCAAGTGACATAAACTTAGGGACCTCCTTACGAGTCTATGCGTTACTACTGGACCCCTAAAAACTACTGTAGGGTCCACTCAAGTGACTGAAACTTAGTGACCACTTTAGGAGTCTAAACGGTCCTTCTAGTCCATTAGAAACTACTGTAGTGACCACTCAAGTGATTAAAACTTAGTGGCCTCTTTAGGGGTCTTAATGGTCCCCTGAAAACTACTATACACTGCGACCCATAATTATAGACCCACCCTAATTTCTCCGATTTTAAGAAAGATTGAAAAACTTTGAGCCACCAAACTTTTTTTGTGATAAACCTTGTTGATAAGGAACATAATCATAATATAATTATCAATCACCCAGTTGAAAAAGTTTTTTTCAAGATACGAGAAAAATCTGATTTTTTTGACCGACCCAGAATTATAGACCCACTATAAGTAATCAACAAAATTCATTTCACAAAGTCAACAAAGTATAACAAAAAGATTAATTAATAATGTGTGATGCCTCCTTGTTTCTGAGCGACTTCGAAAAATCCTGTTCGGCATGCTGCCAACGAGTGATTGCAGCAGTGACTTGTCCAAACCATCCCACTCGGCACGAATCGCTCTTTTCAGATCGTTGACCGTTGTATACTGCTTGGCATTCGCGTAGACCCTTCGTACAAGGACTGGCCATTAATTCTCTACAGGGTTGAGGTCAGGACTGCACGCGGGCCAGTCCAGAAGAACCACGTTCTTGGCCGCAAACCAAGCCAATGTGGAGTTGCTCGCGTGAACAGATGCATTGTCTTGTTGGTATATCATATTAGCACGTCGTCGGCGACGAAGATAGGGCAGGAGATGCTGGGCAAGCAGTTGCTGGTAGTCTTGCGAATTCGTTCTGGTCCCAATGAAAGAAAGAGCTACCGTCCCGTTGCCGCAGAAAGCCGCCCAGACCATGAGGCTGCCGCCGCCGAAGTTTCTCTTGGAGAAGTACATCGGATCTTTCCTCAAATCTCTCCAGTAGTGAGCGTACCCATCTGGCCCAGCAAGGTTGAATTTCTTCTCGTCGCTGAAGATGATCTGAACAGAAATTGGGAATCATAAGGTGATAGAAAACATTGATACCTTATTCCAATCCGTGGCCATGTTAGAGCGTGCAAACTGGAGCCGTTCATTCTTATGGCGTTGCTGTAGACGAGGTGCTGCCTTCATTGGAGTATTCACAAGTCGACCGGACCGATGAATTGTTCGTAAGATGGTGTTCTTCGAGACGTTTTCAGGAACTTCGGATCTGATTTGGTTGGCGGACTTCGTGGAGTTTGATGCTTTTCGACAGACGTCTCGTTCAGCTTGAACCGATAGCAGCCTGTGCCGTCCAGAATCTATTGCTGTGCCGTATTCTTGCGGATTCCTTGCATAACGGTCAATAGTTCGTCTTGAGCGACCCGTCTGACGAGCGATTTCCCGATGGGACAAGCCGTTGTTGAGTAGAGCATGGATTACCGCTTTTTCGGTATTATCAAGTTGAGTAGATTTAGGCATTATGGCTTATAGTGATACACGAGGACTTTTTTTCTCTTATATACCACTGAAAAAAACAGGAAAAAAACGTGTTACCTGAAACGAAAAACTCGGAAAAACTCTGGGGTGGGTCTATAATTCTGGGTCGGTCAAAAAGTCAGATTTTTCTCGTATCTTGAAAAACTTTTCAACTGGGTGATTGATAATTATGATATGATTATGTTCCTTATCAACAAGGTTTATCACAAAAAAAGTTTGGTGGCTCAAAGTTTTTCAATCTTTCTTAAAATCGGAGAAATTAGGGTGGGTCTATAATTATGGGTCGCAGTGTAGTGGCCACTAAGACGCGCAATAGTGGCTCATAGAGATCTAGTGGCCACTTAAGTGTCCACTCCAAGTTATCCTCCAGGAACCTCTTCAGTTGCCACTAGATTTTTTCCCAGTAGTCATATAAGTTTTGTTAAAATTACACTATAAATGGTAAAAAGAACAGCCAAATTGATAAAATTACCTTTTTTTGGCAATCTGTATGGAATAAACCTTGAAATTATTTATTCCAATTCCAGAAAGAACTCGGTCTCAATGAGCAGAAGCAACAAGAGATGAACGACTACTCAATTGAGAAGAAACTATTCCTGCTTCACTCACAGAATGTAAGTGTGACTACATGGTAAATTTGTTCTCCGTTCGATCTGTGGGTTTCAGATTGTTTTAATCTTTTTTCTAAGCCAAAACGGGGCGGGATTGATCTGAGGACTCTTAGAGCCATATACGAGCTTCTTATCCACTTTACCGACTTTTTTCATCTGATTAAACCGAATTATCATTGTCGGGAAGTCTGAGAAAGCCTTAAAAGTTTACAAAAATGACAAAAACTTGAAAATCTTCGACAGGGAACGATCCAGTAGCCTTTCTGACCATAATTCAATATCTAAGCCAATTTATTAACTTATCAATAATAAAAATCAAAAAATCAACGTCAAAAAAGAGCCAAATATTTTTTTAATGGCAAAAAATTACCAGTTCTTGACAGGGAATGATCCAGTGGTCTTTTTGACATAGATTCACTTTTCCACCCTTTATAATACTTCGAAGAAAATCAATAGTTACCATAAAGCCGGAAAAAGCTCAAAAAATAGACGGAAAAAAAGACAAAAATGAGTTTTCTTTTATTAGGTTCGATCATGGGACCTTTCGCATCATAATTCTATATATTTTTCAACTTATTGGCTCCATAACACTTTCAAGAGCACCCAATAGTTATAGGAATACTTTAAGAACTTGGAAAATTGGAAAGAAAAAACAGCAAAAATGAACTGCCGTGCACCGAGAACGAACCTGTGACCTTTTGAGCCATAGTCTAATCTCTCAACCACTATACCAACGTGTTATAATTCAGAAAAAGCACCTGATAATTATCATAGAATCTTCGGGAACCTCAAAAACCTGGTCAAATATTCCGAAAATAAACAGCAAAAACAAACTGCCGTGCACAGGGAACGAACCAGTGACCTTTTGAGCCATAGTCGAGTCTCTTAACCACTATACCTACTCGTTATTATTAAGATAAAGCTTCTAAAATTGTCGTAGCACCTTTGAAAACCTCAAAAACCGGAAAACTTGAAAAAAGAAAACAGCAAAAATAAACTGTCATGCACCGGGAACGAACCAGTGACCTTTTGAGCCTTAGTCTAATCCCTTAACCACTATACCTACTCGTTATTATTGAGGCGAAATATCTAAAATTCTCATAGGATCTTTGGAAACCTCAAAAACCTAGTCAAATATTTGGAAAAAAAACAGCAAAAATAAATTGCCGTGCACCGGGAACGATCCTGTGACCTTTTGAGCCACAGTCTAATCTCTGAACCACTATACCTACTCGTTATTGTTTAGAAAAAATCATCTAATTGTAATAACAAGATATTTCGGAAAACCTCAAAAACCTGGTCAAATATTTGGGAAGCGTGAGCAAATTTGCACATCGGAGGGGGGCTCTTTCTCACGCTTCCCCCGGGGTTCGGCATTGAAACACAAAGATGGGAAATGATGATGAGTTGATCCGCATCGGAATGTCTGATATGATAGGGTCGGCACGTCGAGGACGCCGCCCACTACATCCAGCTCCTTCGGCGGCTCGCCGAGCAGTTCCAGACCAGCGGGGGAGCCGAACTCGAGCCGGAGCATCTCAGACAGCTCCAGGACCTGGTCATCTCTCTCCGTACACAGAGTTATAGGTAATTTTCATCTCATCTCCTGGGATCATATCAAAAAATACATAATAAAGAGGCGGGGCCATTCAAAAAAGATTAAATGAAGTCATAATTTTTTTTTCAGAGATTGAATTTTTCTGTACTAAAAATAGCTTCGTATAGGAATAGTTAGATGAATTTGAATAATATTAAATGACGTCGTAATTTTTGTATGAATGACGTCACAATTTTTGAATAAATGACGTCATAACTTTTGAATAAATGACGTCATAGTTTTTGATGTTGAATAAATTGAATGACGGAATAATCTTCATATCAAATGACGTCATGAGCCAAGAATTTTCCGATTTTTTCAGAATAATCCCATCGAAAAATGAATTCGGGTTATTCAATAAATCTTTCACAGTTTTGGTTTTCCGATACCTGGTCATTAATTAAAGGCTCTAATGACGTCATAATTTGAAAATTTTTGACGTCATTTGGGGGTATAGGTACTTTTTTAACACACAGAGTTATCGGTAATTCATATCTTGGTTTGAAAAAAAATGATTGGCTTATGACGTCATTAAAATAAAATCATGGCGTCATCAGGGAAAATTTTTTTGAATAAACTAGTCAAAGGTGTCGTGTAAGTTTCGTAGTTACCATATTTGATTTTTTGCATTTTTAGTGACGTCATATCTCAAATTAATGACGTCATATTATTAAAAAAAAAGTTCTTTATCATTTTTGATCGCCTTTTTTGAAAGGAGATGTTTTTTTTTTGGTTTTCATCTCATTCAAAGAAAAACAAGGTGAATTGTTGAATCAACGAATCTTAACTTATAAGTTTCTCCTGGAACAGGAATCAGCGACGATAATAAAAAGCGTTGGACCATCGCGCTGGCCTGTAAAACGGCCCATTAGCAATCAATTCGTTTTTCATTTCAATTGTAAAAGGCGAGTGGAAAGAAGAAGCTACGGGTTTTTCGGCTTTTCGTCCCGGTTATCAGTTGTTTTTCCTTGGTTTTTGTTGATCACCTCGAATTTTAGGGCTTACTTGGAGAGGTTTTTAACCCCCCTCCCGGTTGAACTTTTGATGAAGCTTTGCTGGAGTGTACTTTAGGACCTCCAGATTACAGGACAAGGAAAAAATTCCTCTTAATAGAACTTTTTTTCGAGTTATGAAGCTTCAAAATACGCAAAATATGACAAAAAAGCGCTTTTTCAAGCCTTTGAAGCTTCATAACTTGAATAGAAGATCTATTGCGAGAAATATTTTTCTTGTCCAGCAATCTGGAGACCCTAAAGTACCCTTCAACGAAGTTTCATCAAAATTCGAGAATTCGAGGGGGGGGATCAACACTCTTTTTATTTCTATCAAACGGTGGTCATTCCACTTCTCAAGCCTGGAAATCGAGCAATTATCTCTCGTTTCAATGATAGCTATTAGAATAACTCAAAGAGATTGAAAATCGCGACAAAATTGCGATTTCGGCAACATTAATGGATGCTCCGAGGCGCCAGATGACGCCGCGAACCCACTGATTTATCACCAAATCGCGTGTCTCTCATTGAGCCACTTGAGGGGCCAGATTGACCACGCCCACCTTTTTTCGCGGATTGAATCTTTAAATTGCTAACGTTGGATATATCGTCTTGGTTTTGAATTCAGTTTCAATTATTACCTTTCTGGCTACATGTAACCTGAGCAATATCTTGAACCACGCCCACTTTCGATTGGAATAAAAAAATTATTATTATAATCGGAATGGCCCTTGACTTTTGAGCTTAAAATTTACTTTTTCACTAACATGAGTAATACATTGAGTCACGCCCACTTTTCAAAAATATTTGAACTGAAAGATTTGTGATAGTTTTCAAGTTCTTCGGTATTCCAAATAAAATACATGATAATCTGTAACATGAGCAATAGTTCGCAATACATTTTTTTCAGTGCTTTTTTGGATGAGGTGGTCCTAGATTATCGAGCTTAAAACCTACTTTTTCGTTAACATGAGCAATAAATTGAGTCACGTCCACTTTTTTTCAAAAATCTTGGACCTGAAAGGTTCAATTTTGAATCCTGAAGAGCTTTCTTCTCATCTACTGTGACAATTTTCAAGCTCTAGGATATCTTTAATTATATGGAATATGCGATGGGTTATCTGTATCATGAGCAATAGATTGCAATGCATTTTTTTCAGCGCATTTTTGGATGAGGTGGTCCTAAATTTTAGTTTAAAATTCACGTTTCCGTTAACATGAGCAATAAATTGAGCCACGCCCCCTTTTTTTCAAAAATCTTGGACCTGAAAGGTTCAATTCTGAGTTTCCTCCTCTTAACTGTGGAAATTTTCAAACTCTCTGGTATCTTAAATAAAAGGAAATACTTGATAAGTAATCTGTAACATGAGCAATATATTGCAATGCGTCTTTTTCAGTGCTATTTTGGATATTCTTTGGATTTGATCTCTTAAAAATTTGGTAATTTTCAGCTACTTGGAAGAGTTCCTGGCCAAATCCGGGCTCGAACTCCTGAATTCGTTGCTGGAAGCGTGCCACGAAGGCTACAAACGGGAACGGACCGCCCTCTTCTTGCTCTATGCCCTCCGAGCTCTTCTGAACTCACCGGTAACTTTCACATCACTTCATTTGCTTTTTTTTTCAAAAAAATGTCTTTCAAAGCATCCCCACACAGCACCAAGAGCATTAGGCGGTTTTCAACAACGGAAAAAAAAACTGACGAGAAAAAAATGCCGCGCGGAGAAGCGCTAATCTTTCCGGGGCGCAGTCGCCCTTTTCTGGACGAGTCGTGGAGAAAAAAGGAACGCTTGGAAAATACAGACGGTTCTGTTTGCGTCGGACGCCTTTGTCGCCATTTTAAGCACTAGCAACATTTTTCTAGTCCGTTTTTTAGTAGCTTTAAGCCTTTTAAGACTTATTTTTTAAATTAAAAATCAAGTTTCAATGTTTTTCAAAGTATATGTTCCAATAGAAATTTTTCAAAATCTTTTTTATTTGATAATTTTTTGTTCATTTTGTATGATATTTTGAAGGTTTTTTTAAAGTTTTTCCTTCTTAGAATAAGGATATATGGTCTTTATAACGCTTGTTGGACAATAAATTACTTGAGGCCCGCATTTGGAATGGCTTTTTTTGACTGGAAATAAGTAGAGCCATTCCAAATGCCGCTTAAAAATTCATCTAGATGTCTTTTTTTGAACAGGAAAACATATGCTATTTGATTGATTTTGCTTAAAATTTCGATTAATAAACTGTGGCCGCATTTGGAATGGCTCTCTGACTGGAAATAAATGATGAGCCATTCCAAACGCCGCTTGAAAAACTATCTAGAAGTCATTTTTTTGGATATGAGCTCATTGATAGGAATTTTTTTTTAAAAATAAAAATTTTGAAAGAGCGATTAATAATTTTTGACCGCATTTGCAATGGCTCTCTGACTGGAAAAAAAAGAATGAGCCAATCAAAATATCACTTAAAAATATTTAAATGCCGCTTTATAACAGGAAAACTATAATATTTTATTTGAATAAAACTTGAGTTACCGCTTGAAATTTTTATCAATAAACTGTGGCCGCATTTGGAATGGCTATCTGACTGGAAATAAAGGATGAGCCATTCCAAACGCCGCATGAAAATTATCTAGATGTCATTTTTGGATATGAGCTCATTGGTAGGAATTTTTTTTTAAATTAAGGTTTTGAAAGAGCGATTGATAAACTGTGGTCGCATTTGGAATGGCTTTGTGACGTAGAAAAAAAAAATTAAAATTGGAAATATGTGCAGATTTGGGACTGGTTCTGCATAATTGCTGGTTTTGTGATTAAAATTCAAATTGAGCCATTCCAAAATGCGGCCCAGAAAAAAGTTCAATTCAGACCCAAGATGATTATTACAGTTTATTGTACTTTTCAAGAAAATCTGAACTACTGGCCGCAGTGGGAATGGCTTTTTTTCAATATTTTTGCCGAAAATTTGAACTTTTCATTTGTTAGTTGTGTAATCTACCTTCACGTGACAAATTTCTGTCCTTGTGGACGATTAATAATTAAAAAGGTGCATACTATCCATTTCCAAGCAAAAGCCTCCCACATGTTCCCTTCGCCAATTAATTCTTCCTTCGCGCACCCGTGAATGTGTGCAAACAACTGCTACACTCTGTTCTTGTTCCTTTTTTCGAAGTTTTCCTTGATTTTGTTGAGCATTTATTCAGTCTTTGGAGAAAACTCTCTACTGGCTCTTAAAATCATGTACTTTTTTTGTTTTAGTCATAGTTGTAGTTGACCAGGCGATGAACAAGAACTTTTGTCCGTCTTTGGTGAACCAGAAGTCCAAACGTGTAGTTGATCAAGTTGAAAACATGGTCTTACGGTCTTTCGCCTCGTTCTTCAGCGCGTAATCCATTTAGTTGCGCCTGGACGAACTCAGAATGTAGTGGATCTTGTGCTGGAGCTCGGAGGGATGAGAGCGATCACTTCGAGTGAAGTCTTTTACACGGAATTTCGTTTTATAGAGAGCTTTTTGTGAATTCACGAAACTGTAGTTGATCAAGAACGGCGCGTAGATCAACCTGTCCTTTTTCGATAGTAGTAGCCAATTCTTGAGCGTTCCGGCGATCTTCTTCATGTAGACGGCGCATAGCTTGTCCAGGGCTGGCGGGTGTAGTATTTTGTGGATCAACTATATCTTTTAATTTTGATCCAGTATAAGACTTTTTGACCTTTTTTGGATAAGTTAAGATTTTTTGAGCTTCAAGATTCTTTGGGAACGTTCTTGCTGTTGAATTATTTTCTTCCAGGATTTCAAAAAAAGCCTTCTTTGTTAGAAAAGAAACAGTGAAACCTGCTTCAAAAGCCCAGTGATTTTTGTATATTGGGAGGAGCTGGTCCTCAAATCTCGGTTGTATTCATATTTCCTAGTTTTTCGACAATTTTTTGAAGCTTGAAAATTTGAACCATGTGTTTCTTTTTCCGCAAGAAACTGAACCTGAGACCTTATCAGTCAAGAAATTATCTCACCAGTAATGGAACCTTCAAAAATTGTCTCGAGTATTTTATCAAGAAGTTATTAAAGCTTGGCCATTCGAACTAGCCTTTAAAAGAAGGAAAACTCCAAAATTTATTGGTCCTTGAAGTTCGCACGAGGAACTGAGCCAATGAACCTTTAAACCTTGACTAAAAGAATATCCCACTAGACCAAAAACCATTTCAGAATGTATCATGTCTAAATTCCCAGAAAGTTGTCAAAGCGTGATCATTTGAACTACTCGGACAATGGTGACGCGAAACTGACGGCTTTTCTAGTGACCACTTTAGTAGCGTCAGCGCTCTTAAGTGACCCCTTGGACTGCTCAAGAACATCCGGGACACTCTGGCCTTCGTTTCCAAGTTACCAATGTCCGAGTGGATTTTTTAAGAAGGAAAACTTCCAACAATTACTCTTGAAGTTCTCACTAGGAACTGAACCAATGAACCTTTGAACCTTGACCAGAAGAACGTCCCACTAGATCACAAAGCATTTAAATGAATTATCATGAGTAATATTTTTGCAGAACGGCCGATCGGCGGTGCTGCAAGACGAGCCGGTGTTGCGGAGCATCGCCCGCGCCATCGACATTCGCGACGTCAAGTGCAAGGTGTTCTCGTCCTTCTTTCTCTTTTTTTTCTTTCTTCCTCCTTTTTGCCCTTGTTTGGCCATGCGCAGTTTCTCAAGAGCGTTCCGGAAATTCGACGTGAAATTTACGGCCCCGTTGTTCCCATCGTTTGCTGCCGACCGATATATGTGCTGCGCTTTTTTTCATTTAATTTTTGAGGTTTTTCTGATTTCAAGTGGTTCTTGAACTTTTCAATGGGTAGATGCAAGGTTTAGGTTGAAATTTGCGAAAAATCTGGAACTTTTGAGATTTTTGTGCTTCTCTCTACACTTTTGACCGTTTTAGGAGCAAAAATTGGAGCTTCGACCTTAATTTATGACCCTAATCCTTAGTTTTTTTAAAGAATTTCGAAGTTTTTTTGAATTTTGGGAAGGCTGTTGGATCACTTGCATGAATTAATGAAAAATCTTAAATCGAAAAAAATTTTTTTTTGATTTTTTTAACTTGAATTTTGAGCTTTTTCCCCTAGGTTTAGCTGCTTTTTTAACAGATTTTCTGTACTTTTTTGAATTCTTTAGTTTTTCAATAGGTATATGCAAGCTTTAGGTTGAAATTTGCAAAAAATCTGGGAACTTTTGAGATTTTTGTGCTTTTCTCTATCCTTTTTGACCGATTAAGGAGCAAAAATTGATACTTGGACCTCAATTTGGGATCTTAATTCTTAAGCTTCTGAGAATTTCGAAGTTTTCTGGAATCTGGCAATGTTAATTGATCTCTTGGATAGGTTAGTGAAAAGATATAGGTCCAAAATTTCCCAAATAAGAGAAAATATTTCGAAATATGCTCCCTAATTTTTTATTTCTTGAGCTTTTCCCCTAGGTCCCGCTGCTTTTTCGACAGATTTTTTGAACTTTTTCAAATTCCAAAAACTTTTTTCACGTCCTAAATGATTATAGTAAGGATGAACGTTTTCCAAAAATTATTTCAGATCTTTTGGTGATAGAAAAAAAACTTTCAAAATGTCCCCTTTATCCAGCCCAACTTCAAGCCTTAAAAATTTTGTTCACTTTGCTTCAAAATAGATGTACCTGGTCTGAAACTATACAAATTTCGAAATTGCGGACATTTTTCTGGTCCAACTATGAATATTTTATTTACCAGGACACGTTTCAGGGCGATTCTAGGGATCACTTAAGGGTGCTGACGCTACTAAAGCGGTACTAGACATGCCCAAAAGCGTGCGTTCCGCGTTACCAATGTACAATACGAAAATAGCAAAAAATGGCAGTAGAGCACACTTGCTTTGTGATAATCAGCCTTTTCACTGTATAATATCTTTTTTGTCCCATTAAAAGGCGCCGAAATGTCGGCTCTTGACACCTGCTAACTGTCCGCATTTTCAAGAAAAAAAAAAGTTCATTGTTTCGTAATGATAGCGAAACATTACAAAAAGGAATGTCGAGCTTATCAGTATTATTATTATATAGTTTTTATCGCCCTCCTTGTTTTACTTGTACCTGGAACGGGGTCACCTGCACAAATACAAGTATGTTTTGAGCTTTTGCAACAGGAAAAAGTTTGAGATTATAGATGTTTTGTACTGTTTTGAGGGTGTATATAAGGGTATGGGAGTGGGGAAATGACCGCACTTTTTTGATTTTTTTGTAGTAGGCTAAATTTTTAGAACTTGTTACATAGAAAAAGTCGAAAAGGGGGAAAAAAGTTTTCCTTTTAGGGTGACAAAGGCTTTTTTTTTGCTGCCTTTTTGCGCCATTTCATCGGCCCTTATGCACCATTTTCGCTGCCTTTTTTCACAATTTTTCGAGCCTTTAAAATCCAAGAAAATGTGGAAAGCTTGATATAGGGACCTTTTTTGCAGCCTTTTCGCGGCTTTTTTTGAGCCATTATCCGCCATTCCGATTTTGCTCGAGTATGCTTGTATTTTCGAATTTCTTCTCATATTTGACTACAATTTCGGGCTTTTTTTTCTTGTCCAGAACCTGATTCTTCTCATTTTTTGGATAATCGGAATTTTTTCTTCATTTTTGAAATGTTCGGCTGAAAACTCTGAACAATTATAAAACTGAAAAGTTTTCGAAATTAAAAAAAAAATTTTTTTTCAATTGATAAGACTTCATGGTCTCATTTGTATTACAGTTTTTTAAAATCCAGATTTTCTGTACCGAACTTCCCAGATACATACACTAATCTCAGAAGCACAAAGAAAGAAAAAAATCCGTCAAAATTTCTAGAAAAAAAAACTCGATTGATAGTGTTTTCGACACTTTGGAAGCTCATTTTTTCAAAACAAAAAATTCTTTTTTTGTAAATAATGTAGTATTAGTTTCTATGGAGATTCTCTAATTTACAGAAAATATCCTGATTTTTCAAAAAATGAAACGTAACCTATTGCTCATCTTATCGATATTGATAAGGGGCATACAAATCTGTGTTCCAACAATAACAAACAACACAGCGGGAGGTGCGCCAAAACTTTTCGTCTTATCATTTATCACCTATCTGCTCTAATATGAGCAATATGGTTGAAATGACTGGTCTTTTGTTTCTCCTGAAAGGGGAGAAATTTCAGAATTTTGAAAAAACGTTTTGCCACATGGTTGGAGAAGCTCTCACATGAGCATTAGTCCTGAAAACCCGTTTTTTATTTCTCTAATATGAGCAATGGGGCCCTGAATCTTGAAAATTTTTTTCCGGTAGTTCCTTTAAACGTCAAAAAATCTTGACACTTCTCAATTTCTTTAAAAAATAATACTTTTTTTTTGAAAATTTCGAATCGTCCATTGATGACGTCACCAGCACCGATGACGTCATCAACGGCAGACCGGTCCCTTTTTTGCCCTTGGCACATCATTTTTTTGGCAAGCTTCTTCAATTTCCCTAAAAAATAATACTTTTTTTTTGAAAATTTCGAATCGTCCATTGATGACGTCACCAGCACCGATGACGTCATCAACGGCAGACCGGTCCCTTTTTTTCCTTGGCACGTCCTTTTTTGAATTCGCCGATGGTTGGAGGCAATTATTCATGGCTTATTCTGTGCTGCCTCATTTTCTGTAAGCTCCTTTTTGGCCTAGCTTGAGGAATTTGAAATTTTTGAGGTTTTTGAAGCTTTGAGGCGAAACTTTGCAGTTCAGAATGGAAGTATCTTCAAGTAAAAAAATTAGAACCTCTGAAAATTCTTGAAATGCAAAATTTCGCTCCTTTAATTTTGCTTTAAAGGACGATGAGTCTTTCAAAAATGACATATTGATGAGATTTTCTTAAATTCGGCTCAAGGTAGCCTAGAATCGACTATGAGCTTAGAAAGAGTACCTGGACCGTAAAATTGTAATTGAGCAGGATTTTTGTCCAAGTTTCGATAGAAACTTTTTTGGAAACGATATAACTTTAACAAACTTTGCGGTGCACCCCGCAGTGTACCCCGTTTAACTTTAAATGCCTATTAAGGTACTTATTCCGTACACGACTTCACCAATAACACCCTTTTCTACAGTATCATCTTAGGCTGTTACGGTAGCTCAAAAAAATCTCTTTATATCTGACCGGTTGCTATAGCAAAAGTTGTGGTGCACCCCGCCGAACTCTCGGTGCACCCCGTATAACTTTAAATGCCTATTAAGGTACTTATTCCGTACACGATTTCGAAGTGGTTTGTTCCCTAATATCACCACTTTCTACAGTTTCATCCTGGGCTGTTAAGGTGCACGCCATCATAGTTTAACATGAGGGGGGGGGTGCGCCGATAACATCAATAAAAAATTCTCTTTTTTTAGGGTTCACTCTCATTTTTGTTAGTGTAGGAAGGTCCGAAGTTTCTTCTTCTACATAAGAATTGCAAAAATAATCAATTAATTGAATGAAAGCTTTGAAATTAAATTTTCCCGGCAACGAAAGAATGTCTTTTGTGCGCGTGTATTTGTGACCTTGCGAGGCGCGAAACTATTGCGGTGGGAGGTGAATATCTCCTTGTTTCCGACGGGATCATTCGACCGTTCCGATCTGATTCAGATTGAAGAAGAAGAAGAAAGGAACTTCCGATCAACTTCTTTCTCATCTCCTCGACAACACCTGTCATTTGTCATTTTTTGTTTGTACCTTGTCATTTGGTATTCTATGGTTGTTTTGAAGGGTTTAAGACTTGTGGCCGCTATAGAGGCTTGCCAAGGACTACTTGGAGAGGACGCTAGAGTGGCCACTAAACCCACCTCTATAGTGACCACTACTTACCGTTTTAGTGGCCACTTCATTAGTTTTTCATCCAGTATTCCTTCCAGTAACTCTATAATTTTGAAAAAAAAAACAGATTGGACCAGTTACGTTGATCCATTGACCCCTAAAGTGGCCACTAACATTTTCGGTGGTCTAGTAGTAGCACTTAGACCTCTATAGTGGCCATTTTCAACACCTTAAGTGGCCACTAATTTGACTACTATAGTGGCCACTAAAACGTCAAAACCCTATAGTGGCCACTAAAAGTTTTCCCAGTTTAGTTAAAAATCCAGGATTCCTATCTTTTCTCGCCTGGCAGACTTCAGAACATCACGAGGACTAGAAAACTATTCAGAAAGAGAAAAAAAATTCTACAAAGGTCAGATCTTGTGAAAATCGTTTGAAAGGTTCAGTTGCAGCCGAATTTCTAATGGATACAAGCAAATTTTTTTCGGATTTTTTTCAAAAATTTATTTTAAGGGGTGGAACTATATCAATTTTTCAGAAATCCCCCTTTTTTTAAAAAAACGAAAAAAACAAATCTCACAAATTTTCAGAAGGTTCAGATAACTTTCATATTGGGAAATCAAAAAACATGAGATTTTGTGGGTCAGACCCCCTGGAAACCTCTGAAAATCGATTTTTCTTTTTTGACATAATTAGGGGGCGCAAAGCCCCGCCCCTTCACGCCACCAAAATGACGATTTTTTTGTTGCAAAAAAACGGTTTTGAGGCGTTTATACTAGCTAAAGTCCCACTTTAAAAAAATCAACTGTTTCTGAAAAATCTATGTAATCGACAACGCTCTACAAGACTGAATATTTTTTTAAAAACTATGTATTTTTTTCAAAAATAAGCGAAAAAAAGTAAGATTTAACACGAAAAAAACTGACAAGTTTCACAAAAATCGTCGCGTTTCAGAAAAACCAAGTGAGGAACGCTTCTAAATTTTTAGTATGTTATACATTAACACTTTCTTTATTTTTTTGAGTGAAAATGAAAAAAATCTACCGACGCGAAAAATATTAAAGCTTGTAAAGTGACACCAAACTTTGAAGCTGAAATGCGAAAAAAATTTCAGCGACATGGTATACTTTTTTTATTTGATTTAAAAAAACTAACAGTGTGTCCAAGAATAAAAAAATTCAAAATGAAAAATAATTATTGGGACAGCGAATCAAATTATATTTGAGTTTTACCAAAACCTCCTTTTTTTCGCCTGCCTCGTTGACGCATGAGAGAATAGGATCGCGTCTATATTTTTTTGATTATGTTATTAAGCGTTCAAAAACTCTATCAATGAAAAAAATTATGAAAAATCGATCGACGCGAAAAAAATAACGGCTTTGAAATCCTCGAAAAAAATGGCAATTTTTTTGAAATTTCGGAAGATTTCGTGCAAGTGTCCGTAGCAGTGTTTGCGTCAAACACACCGATGCGCCCTTTTAAATGTCGCAGGAGCCGTTTTTTTCGGAGTCAAATTGCACTTTTTTTCCTGTTTTATTTCGAAATAACATTATTTTTTTCATTTTTTTCTTTTTTTCCAAATCGAATGATAATAATTTTTCTGAGTAGAAAAAAAGAAAAAAATAAGCTGAAAAAAATCCCTTTGACCTTTTTTTCTAGGTAGTTTTTTTGATATTTTTATCAAAAAAATTCTTATGAGGATTGTACAAAAGATTCATACCAAAAACATGAGGATCAGTTCGGACAATCTCTCAGAGCAGAAAACCGATTTAAAAAAACGGTCCAGAAACGCGCAAAAAAACATTTAAAAAGAAAGCGTGCGGCAGCGGGTAAACCGTGAGATTTTGCCTCCAGTTGTACGCCGCGCGCGCTCGTTTTTTGGCCATAACTTTTTTTCTTAGTGAACCTTTTTTTCAAAAAAACTAAACGGATTATGAAAATGGACAGTCTCCCCTATCGAACAATGTGAAAAACATATTTTTTGAATCATTCTGAAGAAATGGCTTGCGGACCCTAGACATAATCAAGTAATGAGGAATGTGACAGATATCAGTTGCAAGGGGGAACCCACTTGAACGTGTTGAAGGTCAGCTTGTTTGCTCATCCTACACACGTTTCGGTGGTCCCCCCGAGACAACGATCTGGCTATTTTCCGTCACCTTTTTGGTTTCGATTGTATCATATTATCTTGAATTTTTTTTTCAATGTTTGAATGACTACAGGAAAAAAATTCATTTTCGAACTTTTTCTCACCTTCAGAGCCTTATAGAGCTTCAACAGGTTGAGGGAGGTCTGTTGAGTGGCAACTTTAGAGAATTTTATAGAAAAATGCAACTTCTGAGAGGAGAGAGTAGTCATGAGAAAATTAATTTTCAACCTTGTAATCTTAATTTTTCTTTTTAACACTTAAGTGATCACTTTAGAAGGACTAATTTTGTCTTTTATTCAACACTTAAGGGACCACTTTATACAGTAAAAAAATGGACTTTCTTAAAAAAATTCATTCCAACTTCTTAAGAGGTCACTTCACGGTTCTGCACAGTTTTTGAAGTCTAAAGTGGTCCTTCAAGGGATTTTTAAGATATGAAAGAGTTTTAAGAAAATTTATAATCCTACTAAGACTTGTTAGCTCCTCAAGGGGAGCTTTTTTCAAAAATCATTTTTCCGCTCCCCAAATTTCAATTCAGTGGTCTTCCTAGTGTTGCAAAACGTGTAATCCTCTTAAAATTTTACGATTTTATTTCAGTTTTTCTCCCCAAACAGTTGAAAAGAACATCAAAAAGCGGTAAAGCAAAGGTTCAAAAATAGCCGTTATCTTTGGGCTTTTGCAAAAGTTTATAATCGCTTTTTCTCTGCGTTTATTGACAGTTTCGGGTGTGAATGGCCGGGTTTTTTTCAGCTTTATCACTGTTACCAAGTTTCAAAATTGAGTTCTGGAATATTTTTTGAGTTTTACCAAGTTTTAAAATGATCTAGAATGGCTTCCTCGAAGTGATTTTTGGTGCTAAATCAACCGATTTGAAATAATTTATTTTTAAAAGAGGTGGAATTTTTTTATCTCTCCCCCCTCTATAAAAAAATGAAATTTCAGCAATATTGCTCATGTTAGAAGAGGCAAGTGATAAGGAATAGGACTTCTATTTTTGGCCCCAAAGTTGAACTTTTCGTCTCCTTTCCTACCGGATGTTTGACGTCACGGTTGCGCGCCCGTAAGCTTCCGCTCCAGTTCCTTCCTCATACCTTAAGGGGCTTCTTAAGGTTTGAACGTTTCGAATGGAGCACTGACGTCATTAATGGTTTTTCTAGTCTGAAAAATCTTCCGAGATCCTGTTGGACTCTTCATCTTTGAAATGAACCTTGAAAAAACGAGAAGATCAGCCTGAAAATCATCCTTCACTTATGACGTCATCTAATTTAATTGATGACGTCACTATATATATTTTATGTGTTATAACATCACGTGGAAGACGTTACAGTTTCTAAAAAAACTATGAAAAAGACGAAGACTTGAGTTTTGTGAGACAATCATATCTATGACGTCATCAATCAATATTTTATGACGTCATGCGGTGAGAAATAGCCACTTTTTTCAGAAATGAGCTTTATTTCAGCTTTTTGGGTGATTTTTCCGATTCAATAAATCCAGAATAGCTATAAAAAAAAATAGCCACGTTGATTTTAAGAGAATTTTTTCACTTATGACGTCATAGCCTCGAAAAATAGCGCCATTTTAGGCGAAAAATAGCTCAAATTTATCGCATCAATGTCGATTTTTGGCGGTATGAAAAAAACACCAGCGAAAATTCAAACGGCGACTTTTCCGATTTTTTCATATCGCTAGGGAACTTTCCGACGGCCACCTTTCCGACGGATTCCTTTCCGACTTTTTTTCCCTCATGTATTTCGGTTTATAAAAACATCTATTAACATTTATTTTCCTATTTCTTTGTGTTTTAATCATGAACCAACTACCTACTTTATACAGGAAGATTTAAAACGAAGATTTTATCGAGAAAAAAAGTCGGAAAAAGTTTCGTCGGAAAGGTGGCCGTCGGAAAGTTCCCTAGCGATATGAAAAAAATCGGAAAAAGTCGCCGTTTGAATTTTCGCCGGTGTTTTTTTTCATACCACCAATTTTTAAAATTTCTTCTCTCTTTCGAAATTAAATGAGTCTTTTTCGAAGTGGTAAAAGCTTATTTTAGGACTAGAGAAGACAAAAAACAGCCTAGCCAAAAAAATAGCGCCACTCATGACGTCATAGCCTCGAAAAAAATAACTCCATTTTAATGTACATATTATAGCCAATTTTCAACATTTCTTCTCTCAATCGAAACAAATTAGGTCATTTTGAAGTGGTAGAAGCTCATTTTAAGACAAGGCAAAACAAAAAACAGCCTAGCTAGAAAAATAGCACCACTTATGGCGTCATAGCCTCGGAAAAATAGCTCCATTTTAACGTATTGTAGCCATTTGTTGAAATTTCCGCCCCCCTAATCGAAACAAATTAGGTAATTTTGAAATAGTAAGAGACTATAGAAAACAAAAAAAAAACAGCTGCGGTAATCCTAGCCAAAAAATAGCGCCACTCATGACGTCATAGCCTCGGAAAAAATAGCGCCACGGCTGACCTGTGCGTCCCGCCCGCTCCTCTTAGCCTAAGTTGGCGTCCTCCCTGCTCAATTTGGTCATGTCCAACCGGCTCCGCGCATATTTCGTACTGATTTTCATGATTTCTGCCACCTGTTTTGCGCATTTACTGCTCTTTGAGCACAGAAATCTTTGGCTCCTGGCGACGGTGATTTTTTTGAAATCCCTGATTCAATATAATTTTTTTATAATAAAAATAGAATATAACGGAATCCAGGTCGTTTCCATCGAAATCCTCGCCGGCCTTTGCTTCATCCCCGACGAAGGCCATTCCCAAGTCCTCAAGGCTTTGACCCAGGTAATTTTTTAAAATGAAATAATAAAACCTTCACGTCAAATTATTTGCTCAACTCATTAGTCATTTTCAATTTTTTCGTCGTTTTTCGCAATCGCATTCCGATTTTTAACGGATTCTGCTGATAAACTGATAAAATTCCAGTTTTTGAGGTAAGGTTGTGAAATTATTTATATTTCTGGGCGTTGCCCTTTTTTGTATTTTGTGGACTTTGTATTGGGTTTATTATTATAAATTGAAGCAAGATAGTTTTTTTGCTTTTTTGAGGTCTTGGTCAGTAAAATAAACTTTCTAAAGGCTCAAAAACCGGTTTTTCGAAGCTTTTTTTTGAAAAAGTTAACTATATGAAATATAAGATTTTTTTGAAAAAAATGGCAAAAATGCGTTTTCCTCGCCTAGACTTGATACTGTGACCTTTTCATTAATAAAATAGGTCGTTATCTAGTGCGCCAATGGAAAAAAATTAATTAAAAGCTCGTTTTTTTGTTCATTCCTGAAGCTTAAAATGTGTAGTATTGGGGCACGAAATATCTCCCTGACGTTCGAAAAATTGATTTTTTACCTCATTTTCTAAATTTTCGTAATCTAACCCCTCCTGGAGGGCTTAATGAGTTCTGTACTTGCCCATATATGTAGGTTTTCCACTTTTTCAAACTAATTTTTGCATAGGGTTTGAAATTTTTTATATATTTACTCAAAAAATCTTTGATGGACTGGAAATCGATCCCCTGTAGTCGCTATCTGTGAAAAGTTTTTCGTTTTGGAGATATGATTTTTCAAAGTTTTTATTCTTAACCATGTGACCGTTTGGAAGAAATCTGACCGCGCCACCAGCCACTGCAAGGCAGCTAGGAGCGTGGTGCAGTGGCTAGCGCAGTAACTTGCGATGCCTGCGATGAAGGTGCGAATCTTTTTGCCGCAAACTTTTTTTGCCATTATTTTTTTTTGACGGATTATGATAAACATGTCGACATTTCATGATTAAAGCCGTTCCAGAACCGTTAGATAGCCATTTTCTTTCAAAAAATTACCTTTTTCATAGAAAATTTCTTGAAGTTTCGGCATCATCAAACAATATTAGCCAGAAAGTTGAAGAAACAGAAATCTCATGACTTAGGATGAGGATCCCAGTTTCCAAATTCTGACCATTTATGCGTACCGTTCACATTTCCGAGATGTGTTGGTGGACGCACACAAAACGGCCGCTTTTACTGCTTTTCACCCGTTGGAACGTCGCCGTTCCTGCCTCCAGTCAAAACCCAAATATATCTGTACCTATTTCGAAGCATCAATCTGGGTTTATTGTGCCTTTTTTCAGCTCTTAAATGAACTCTATGGTCATCTTACAGGTATCGTCATTGCTGGGCGAGAGGACGAGGTTCCAGACCTTTGGTCGACGACTTGCACAGGAGTTTTGGCAGCGAACGGGAGACGGACCGCGTCAGGACGGCGATTGTCGGCCTCGTCAACGCCCTCCTTCGCACCGGACCCGCTGAGGTTCGTTTTGTCTTAAAAATAAGTATAGTCCGTCTGTCGCGACTTGACAATTTTCGAGTGTCTGCGTCTCTCTGTTCCCTCGCTGGCGAGGTCAGAGAAATATGGAAATAGCACGTAAAAAGGAGAGATGAAGAGGGCGCAGAGAATTCCTTTTTGCATTCAAGGTTTCTCAGATCAACTCGACTCCTCTTAGCATACCCTAGTCTTAAAAATATCAATAAGTTACCTCTTAAGTGTTTTTCATACTCGGGCAAAGTCGGAATGGCGGATAATGACCGCTAAAAGGGAGAGGCTCAAAAAAGGCTGCAGAAAGACCGAAAAAAGGTCGCAAAAAGGTCGCAAAAAGGTCGCAAAAAGGCTGCAAAAAGGCTCAAAAAGGCTGCAAAAAGGCTGCAAAAAGGCTGCAAAAAGGCTGCAAAAGGGCTGCAAAAAGGGTCCCTTCAACGAGCCTTCCATTTTTTCTGTGATTTGAAAGGCACAAGAATTGGTTGAAAAAGGGAGAGGCTGCAAAAAAGGTGCATAACAGCTCATAAAATGGCGCAAAAAGGCAGCAAAAATGGAGCCCTTTGTCACCCTAAAAGGTACAATTCTGAAGCCTTTTTCGACCTTTTCCGACTTTGCGTATGTTGAGTTTAGGATCAGGAAGGCCTAGAAAAAATGGGAACTTGTATAATTCTATATACCATTTAAATGCTTGAAATTAGGATTTTTCATAGTTTTAGTCCATCCTGAAGCTTTTTGGCCTTCAAATCGGGGAATAGTTACTTTTATTGATGCTTCCTTGGTTTTTGAGGATTCCATTTTTCTCATCTCAACCTTTTTTTTCATGTAAGAACAAAACTGAAAAAAATGAGGTCGGAAAAAGTTTTTTTTTTATTATATATCATGGCCACTAGATTTATAAGAACCAACTTTGATTTTTCTCTTTTTTTTGACCAATAAAAGCTTGAAAGTTGATTTATGGAACGAACGGTTCCCATATTTCATGTTACCTGCAACAATTAACCCATAATTCATCGAAATGAAAAAAGTGGATTTCTGCGTTCACTTTCGCCCGCCGCGGCGATGATGGAAATTGTTCAACTTTCGCTGTTCTTTCAACAAAAAAGGATCAAATTAAGCGTAACTGTGGCTTTTTTGCAATGGAAGTGTTATTATGTGGTTTTTTTGTTGAATTTTTTAAATATTCAGGAACTAGTTAGTTTTTTTGATTGGGTACCATTTTCCCCATTAAAAAAAGTCCTAATTGAAATTTTTTTTTCTCGGATCTAATTGGATTGATCGGAAGGAAAGAAATTTGGATTTTGAATTAAAATCCTATTTTTTTCATCCAGCTACCATTTCCTGTTGTATAGTCCGTTTTTCTTGAAAATACTTTTTTTCTCTGCGCCTTCTTCGTCTCTCGGCGACCCTCTCATGTTACCGTGCTATTTTCATGTTTCTCTGACCTTGCCGGTGAGGGAACAGAGAGACGCAGACACTCGAAAAGGGCCAAGTTGCGAGGAATGGACTATGAACTCCATTTTTCACGACTTGAAACGACTTTTTTTCTCTGCGCCCTCCTTGTCTCTCGGTGACCCTCTCATGTTGCCGTGCTATTTTCATGTTTCTCTGACCTCGCTATTGAGGGAACAGAGAGACACAGACACTCGAAACGTGCCAAGTATGGACTATAAACATTGAGATTTTTTTTTTCAAGAAACATAGATCCTCTCTGAAAAATCCTTTGTTCTGTGAGAAATGAGCTTTTTTTGATGTTTTTATAAAAATTTCTTCACGCATTTTTTTAGGATTTTTGATGTTTCATCATTATTGATTGAAAAGTGAAGAAATCTGTGGGATTTCAGTCATCGGCGGTGTACCGGTCGCACCTTCGTTGCGAGCTCCTGCTGCTGGGGATGGCGTCGGTGGCGGAACGGTGTCGAGAGTCGGCGTCGGGCCGCCTCGACGACCACCTCGACCTCTTCGAGATGATGCGAAAGGAGGATGAGCTGACGCTGAACGGCGCAGGCGGATCCTCCTCGGAGGACTCTGGCTCCTCCTCGCCCGTCGACTTCGAGTCGGCAGTCGGAATGGCTGAGGCTCTTCAAGCCAAACTGAAGAACAGCCTGGCCCTCCCGCATTTCATCTCCTTGCTTCAGCATCTTTTTATGGTTAGTTTAGATCGATTTTTTGAAAGAATCTTTGTTGCTCAATGGAAGCTCTTCTAGAGTCCTTTTTTAAGAGTGCCATAAAAATTCAAGATTTTAGGATTTAGGGTAGGGATTACGGCACTTTTAATCGGACAAGATAGGGATTATGGTACTTTTAACCGTATAAGGTATGGATTACGGCACTTTTAATCGGATAAGATAGGGATTATGGTACTTTTAACCGTATAAGGTATGGATTACGGTACTTTTAACCGTATAAGGTAGGTATTACGGTACTTCTAACCGTATAATGTAGGGATTACGGTACTTTGAATCGTATAAGACAGGGATTACGATACTTTCAATCGTATGAGACAGGAATTATAGTACTTTTTACCGTACAAGGTAGGGATCACGGTACTTTGAATCGTATAAGACAGGGATTACGATACTTTCAATCGTATAAGATAAGGATTACGGTACTTTGAACCGTATCAAATAGGGATTATGGTACTTTTAATCGTATAAGATAGGGATTATGGTACTTTGAATCGTATAAAATAGGGATTACGATACTTTCAATCGTATAAGACAGGAATTATAGTACTTTTTACCGTACAAGGTAGGGATCACGGTACTTTTAACCGTATAATGTAGGGATTACGGTATTTTGAATTGTATAAAATAGGGATTATGATACTTTTTACCCGTATAAGAAATTTTTAAAAGAATTGAATATTTTTTTCAATTATTTTCCACCTTTTTTGGTTGGAATAATCAGACCTGTATCCACTCCAAAAAAAAAATTATTTCAAATTTTGATCTTGAAGGCGTATTTTTTTCCTTCCTCAATTTCGAAATTTTCAGGTCCCATGCGACGAAAAAGCATGTACCCCTATGGCGTCTTTTCGACCTGATTCTGCAGCATTTGACGCTGCAGACGACGATGCAGGGAATTTCCGACGTCCATCAGCCGATTCAGAATTCCGTCGACATGAATGAGATCTTGGCCAGGTACTTGTGGAACAGTCGAATTTTTGATGAAAATTGAGAAATTTCAAGAGAATCTACGGCTGTAGGTTGAAGCTGTACCCTTGATGAAACGCTAAATTGACTCCTTAAGTGACTACTTTCCTTAAAATCCTTAAAGGACCTTATTTTTCCCCTTTTTCCGCTCAGTAACTACTCGAATTTCATCAAAAACCAGTAAAATACTGGGAAAACTTTTTAGTAGCCACTACAAGGACTACTTGGGGAGGACACTAAAGTGGCCACTAAATCCATCTCTATATTGACATTTTCCGTTTCGGTGGCCTCTTCAGCAGTTTTTCATCCAGTATTCCTTCCAGTAACTCTATAATTTTGAAAAAAAAAACAGATTGGACCAGTTATGTTGATCCATTGACCCCTAAAGTGGCCACTAAAATTTTTAGTGGTCTAGTAGTAGCGCTTAGACCTCTATAGTGACAACTAATTTTTAACCCCTTAAGTGGCCACTAATTTGACTACTATAGTGGACAATAGAATGTCGAAACTCTATAGTGGCCACTAAAAACTCTCCTAGTACAGATTGGTTTATATTTCAATATTGACTCCTTAAGTGACTAATCTACATTAAATTCCTTAAAGGACCTTATTTTTCCCCTTTTTACCGCTCAGTAACTACTCGAATTTCATCAAAAACCAGTTAAATACAGTCTCGTTTCCATTTCAAAGCTTTCCATTGCCGAAACTCCCGTCTCACTTTCGAAAAAATCCAGTAGTAAATATGTCGGCCGTCAAATTGCGTGTGGAATTTCACGCACTTCTTGGCGGCGGCGACGGCGATTCCCATAAAAAGTAAATGGATCGTAAACGGGGGGATCTTACAGGCTGCAAAACCATTGCGACTACGAGCGGATCGAAAAGGAGCTGGAGAAAAGCAAGGAAGACGTCGAGGCCGAAAGGACCAGGGCAATTGAGCTCGAGAATCGGCTCGCCGATTTTCAGGACGGTCGGGCTAGTAGTGGCAGCAGGTTGGAGCTTTTTGGAATGGCTAGAGATGGGGTTTGAAATTTGCGAGGGGGAGTAATCTTGAGTTGAGTCGTCAATAAGGAACCCAAAAAAACAAGTTCAAGAATTTTAATATTTTCACCTTCAAAATTCACAGAGTATGTGTTTTTTTGAGTTCCTACGACCATGACCATTTCTGCAAATTTCTGGGAAAAATTTTTTTCGATATTTAATTTTTTTCATCTAAGATTATCACTGAACTAGCGATTTTGATGAAAAAAACTATCAAAACTTATCCATCATTTTACAGGATATCCCTCGCGTCAAGCTCTTCCAGCTCACCCAGCGATCCCTGTCCATCACCACCTCTTCTGCCGCCAGTCTGCCCTCCAGCAGCTCCTCCGCCCCCACCACCCCCTCCAATCCCCGGTGGACCTCCTAAAGACGTCGGAGATCCGCCAAAGAAGGTCCCAACGCCCTCAGGACCTCTGAAATCACTGAATTGGGCCAAGTTGGGCGTCCAGAAGACGAGGAGTACCGTTTGGGACTCGATTGAGGATGAGAAGGTGTACAAGCAGGTGCAGATCTGAAGAATGAACTGGAAAATGAAAAGAATATTTTTAGCTTGATCTCGACGATATCGCGATGAACTTCGCCGCGTCGTCTTCACACAAGGATGACGACACGGAGACGATCGCTGGCACGATTTCCAGGCGACATCGCGAATCGCAGGTTTTGATAAGAGGGATTTCAATTCAAAATAGCGAGTTCAGATCACTGTTATCGACCCAAGGCGATATCAAAACTGCACGATCATGCTGTCGAAGCTGAAGTTGAGCCATAAGGAGATCAGATCCGCCTTGATGAGCATGGACGAGAAAGGAAAGCTTCCGAAGGATATGATTGAACAAGTTATTGATTTTCAAAGAAGTCTAAAAAGGATTTGAGTTTTAGATGCTCAAGTTTGTGCCGAGTAAGGAGGAGGTCAATCTGATCACCGATGCGACAGTGAAGAATGGCTCACCGACGGTTTTGGCCCTAGCGGATCGATACCTTTATGAAGTCTCTCAGTGAGTTACTGAAGAAAAAAATTGAAGCTCAACCTAATTTTTTCAGAATCCCTCGATTTGAGCAACGTCTCCGCTGTCTCTACATCATCCGAACATTCAAAGATCGTGTCGATGGACTTCTTCCCTATATCCAGTGCGTGACGAAGACTTCGACCAGTCTTCAATCGAACAAACGCTTCCGACAGTACCTCGCCATGGTCTTGGCTATTGGCAACTACTTGAACCACGGCAAGCGTCTTGGCAATGCCTATGGTTTGAATTAACTATTTTCCGATTTATTGGATTTTTTCCCAGGCTTCGAATTGAACTCGCTGAACAAGCTGTGCGACGTCAAGAATTCTCTCAGAAGCGACCGCAATTTACTTCATTATGTTGTCCAGTTCATCGAGAAGAAGTTCCCGGACATGACGAAAATGAAGCGAGAGTTGGCTGGCGTTTTTGAGGCGGCTAGGTTCAAGTCAGTTTAGATTAATCTTTTTCAGCTTTTTTTTAGCTTTTCATTACGTACCGAGAACGTGAGAAGAATGAAAACTACTTTTTGAAAGCAGACCAAAAGTCATCTTCCAAAAAGTTAAGCAGACCAACGCTATAGTTAAGCAGACCAAAAGTCATTTTTAAAAAGTTAAGCAGACCAAAATTGAGCTTATAAAAAGTTAAGCAGACCAAAACTGTCCTTATAAAGAGTTAAGCAGACCAAAGCTAGAGTTAGGCAGACCAAAAGTAAGCTTCTAAGAAGTTAAGCAGACCAACGCTGAAGTTAAGCAGACCAAAAGTCATTTTTAAAAAGTTAAGCAGACCAACGCTAGAGTTAAGCAGACCAAAAGTCAGCTTCTAAGAAATTAAGCAGGCCAAAAGTAAGCTTCTAAAAAGTTAAGCAGACCAAAAGTCATTTTTAAAAAGTTAAGCAGACCAACGCTAGAGTTAAGCAGACCAAAAACATACTTCTAACAAGTTTAGCAGACCAACGCTAGAGTTAAGCAGACCAAAAACATACTTCTAACAAGTTTAGCAGACCAACGCTAGAGTTAAGCAGACCAAAAGTCAGCTTCTAAGAAGTTAAGCAGACCAAAAGTCAGCTTCTAAGAAGTTAAGCAGACCAAAATTGAGCTTATAAAAAGTTAAGCAGACCAAAACTGTCCTTATAAAGAGTTAAGCAGACCAAAGCTAGAGTTAGGCAGACCAAAAATATAATTCTAACAAGTTTCGCAGACCAACGCTAGAGTTAAGCAGACCAAAAGTCATTTTTAAAAAGTTAAGCAGACCAAAAGTAAGCTTCTAAAAAGTTAAGCAGACCAAAATTCAGATTTCAAAAAGTTAAGCAGACCAAAAGTAAGCTTCTAAGAAGTTAAGCAGACCAACGCTGAAGTTAAGCAGACCAAAAGTCATTTTTAAAAAGTTAAGGAGACCGACGCTAGAGTTAAGCAGACCAAAAGTCAGCTTCTAAGAAATTAAGCAGGCCAAAAGTAAGCTTCTAAAAAGTTAAGCAGACCAAAAGTCATTTTTAAAAAGTTAAGCAGGCCAACGCTAGAGTTAAGCAGACCAAAAGTCAGCTTCTAAGAAGTTAAGCAGACCAAAATTCAGATTTCAAAAAGTTAAGCAGACCAAAAGTCAGCTTCCAAAAAGTTAAGCAGACCAAAATTGAGCTTATAAAAAGTTAAGCAGACCAAAACTGTCCTTATAAAGAGTTAAGCAGACCAAAGCTAGAGTTAGGCAGACCAAAAATGTACTTCTAACATGTTTAGCAGACCAACGCTAGAGTTAAGCAGACCAAAAGTCATTTTTAAAAAGTTAAGCAGACCAAAAGTAAGCTTCTAAAAAGTTAAGCAGACCAAAAGTCAGCTTCTAAGAAGTTAAGCAGACCAACGCTAGAGTTAAGCAGACCAAAAGTCAGCTTCTAAGAAGTTAAGCAGACCAAAAATTCAGATTTCAAAAAAAGTTAAGCAGACCAAAAAGTCAGCTTCAAAAAAGTTAAGCAGACCAAAAATTGAGCTTATAAAAAGTTAAGCAGACCAAAAACTGTCCTTATAAAGAGTTAAGCAGACCAAAGCTAGAGTTAGGCAGACCAAAAATATACTTCTAACAAGTTTCGCAGACCAACGCTAGAGTTAAGCAGACCAAAATTCAGATTTCAAAAAGTTAAGCAGACCAAAAGTAAGCTTCTAAGAAGTTAAGCAGACCAACGCTGAAGTTAAGCAGACCAAAAGTCATTTTTAAAAAGTTAAGCAGAACAACGCTAGAGTTAAGCAGACCAAAAGTCATTTTTAAAAAGTTAAGCAGACCAACGCTAGAGTTAAGCAGACCAAAATTCAGATTTCAAAAAGTTAAGCAGACCAAAAGTAAGCTTCTAAGAAGTTAAGCAGACCAACGCTGAAGTTAAGCAGACCAAAAGTCATTTTTAAAAAGTTAAGCAGAACAACGCTAGAGTTAAGCAGACCAAAAGTCAGCTTCTAAAAAGTTAAGCAGACCAACGCTGAAGTTAAGCAGACCAAAAGTCATTTTTAAAAAGTTAAGCAGAACAACGCTAGAGTTAAGCAGACCAAAAGTCAGCTTCTAAAAAGTTAAGCAGACCAAAAGTCAGATTTCAAAAAGTTAAGCAGACCAACGATAAAATAAATGTTGTATTCAAAGTAATTTTGGCGATTCCCATTTGACGCTTTATTCTTTCAAAATGATGTCGGGAAACAGGCTGAATTGGAATTCCGGGAGGCTTCAGAAAAAGGGCCCTACAACGATCTATCGCAATAAATGAATTTTTATGGGGAGTTACACGTTAGAGCTTGAAATATTTGTCGAAAATGCCCATTCAAAATTTGGAGTTTACGCGTAATAGTTGCGCCGAAATTACTTTGAACACGGAATGAAAAAATCAATAATAAAGTTAAGCAGACCAAAAATAACGTTGAAAAATCAACACCAAAATTAAGCAGACCAAAATATCCAATTATTTTAGCCAAGGCGAAGTTGCCGCGGAAATCCGAAGTCTGGAGCAAGCTCTTCTAACCGTCCGCACCGAACTCAACTTCATCGAATCGGCAAGGAAAGAGGAGCTCCCGGAAGACGTCAGAGACGACGCCAAGAAGGATCGATTCCCCACGGTCGCCAAACAGTTTGTCAACTCGTCAACATCCGAGTTCCATGCTCTCGAGAAGGCTTTTCATGAGATGAAAAACAAGGTTTTGAAGAGAATTCGGGATCCTCAAAAAAATAGATTTTCAGTTCTCGGAGTGTGCGACACACTACTGCTTCAACGCCTCGACGACGACGCCAGAAGAACTTTTTTCGGTTTTGGCAAAGTTCCTCTCGACCTTCGCCGAGTACCACCAACAGTTGTGGGCTGAAGTTGAAGAGGAGGAGAAGATCAAGCGTCAGACCATCGCCAGGACTTTCCTCGCCAAGAAGTGTACGTCTAGGACATGGTGTTCAGCTACTTTGCATTTTTCAGCCACCAGTCGTCGGAAAGAAAAGGAACGCGACTTTGAGCAATTGATCAGCGCCTTGCAGTCCGGCGACATCTTCAAGGAGGAGCTCAGTCGTTTACGGACCTCCTTCAGGCCTAAGAAGACGTCGAAGGCGGCTTGAACATGACGCCGGCGTTGAACATGCACATTGACCTTGCCTTGTTGTTTGTATTATATGCAGATTGTATGTTTGTTTTTTTTGTTGTTTTTTGCTGAAAATGACGTACTGTATCCTTGTAGTTTACTGTAGTTTTTAGAAAACGTTACTCTTTGTAATCTCGATTTTTGAAGACCTTACTGTAACTTCAATATAACGTCTTCTCAGATAACTGCATCATTGATTTTAAAGCCCAAGAACGTCAATTTCAGGGAAAAATTTTAACTTTTTCTCTATTTTACTTATTCTCCCTTGGACATCTAACGAATCTCTGTTGATTTTCTTAGAAGAAATCCCCTTAAGACACCAAGATCTCCACGAAAAAAAGTTGGCCTTAACTAGTTCATGTAAATATTCGAAATTACCTCATTTCTTATTGAAGAAAAAGATAATAGAAAGAAACCCGTTGCTCACGCTTTATAAAGACCCCGATTTATTGCATTTGGTTGTATAAAATTTTTATATAATTGACTTTTTGTTTGAAAAAAAGCCGGAAATTCCGATACCCAGGCTCCTTCTTGTTTGAATATGAGTAAAAATTTATTAAACATGAAAACGAGCCTATTTTTGAAAGAAATGTAGAATAGATATGATAAAATGATTCAAGAGAAAAAAAGTGAAAAGTCAGGCCAAAAAATCGTCGGACAATTCGAGAATTCGGACGTCGTTTTTGTCGCAGCACTGAGATTCGCGACGCATTTGAGGCGATGGACGGTGCGACGTGAGGACTTGGACCTGATAAGGAGAGAGGTTGGGACTTTTTGTCATTTTTTATAGTTATAATGACAAGATTTCTTTCAAACTAACCTTTGAACATAATTTAGAAGCTCAACTAATGATTATTTTGTCAGGATAGGTTGGAAAAAAATCATTCTTGATCAGATACGGACAAAATCTTCGAAAGTTTTCTCGTGTTAAGAAAAAAAATAATTAGCTTAGGCTTCTCATCTTTTTAAAAGAGCGGAGAAATCACACATGGTTAAATTTTTAGCTCTATACGGCGTTTTTTTGGCGGCGTCCATGTTTTTTTCCGTAAAGTTTAGTGTGTCGTGTGCATGCACCGCGGCACTCTCGCACATGCCACGTTAAAACACGTCACTCGTTTCAAAAAAAAAAAATGAAACAGAAAAATGGCGGTTTTTTTAACGGAGAAATATATTCGTCTCATGACCCATTGATGCGCCTTTCAGACTGAGATAGTTAAATGCTGAAATTCTCGAAAAATGAGTTGAAAAGTTTCGAGAGCAGTTGTTAGAACGAAGGAATTTGATCGAAATGTTGCCTATTCATTTTCTTTTTTTTTTCAATCTCACCTTCATAGGACCCACGTAAACCTCATGCGCACCTTCGGCCATTGCCGGATTCATATGTTGTTGAATTTCGACGGCCGCTCTGAAAATGATCGGGAATATCGATTGTATATGAGAAAACTATTGATTTTGACAGAATTTTTCTATCCGTTTCGAATTTTTGAGACCTCCTTAGGATATCCAAAGTGGTCCCTCCAGGGGACATGCTAGTACTCTCTGCGAAAAAGTATTTCCATGCGAAAAACTGAAACCACCTTGATATTACCCCTATAGAGACCATTTTTTAAGCTCCTCAAGGGGCTGTTTTCCCCTAACCCCTATAGGGACCACTCTGGAATTCCCTAAGTCTATAAACCGAAAATTGTTCAAATTTTCAGCCTTTCAAAAGGCCAACATAAGTGAAGAGTTAAGATATTCAAACCTCATCCCAATAATCCTTTCGCTGGCCAAAAAAGTGACCGCTTCGCTGTCAATAGCCGCATGACAACCCTGCACCCGTACCTGCACCCCGGGAACTCGAAAAGACGATCCTTCTTCACCATCAACTGAAAAGAACAGCAGTTGAACGCCAAGTGTAGCCCGTCCACGGCTGGCGGCTTGGGACAGCGAACGGGCGGTTTAATTTTAATTTTTTTAAAATTTTTTTCGCGATGAGGGTAGATCATTACGACTATCCATGCGCCTTCCATAAAAGCCCCATTTTATGGCTTATTTATTTTTTCTTATAATTCGTCGATTTAAAAAAAAAATCGAAGAAGCAATGAGGTGAATGTAAAAAAATAAGTTCAATAGAAACAGAATTAATTCACCAAATGAGGCTCTTATTAAAGGCGCATGTATGGCCGCCATGATCTACCATCGCCGCGAAAGTTGAACCGCTCGTTCGCTTTCCCAAGCCAGCCCGCTATAGTTTGGAATTTCAATGAAATCTATGGGAATTTTCAATAAAAGTCTAACAATCTCTAAGTCTAATTTTTGCTTCGTTCTAATTTTTTTTTTAAAGCGATCTAGTTTTAAGAAAAATTAAGCCCTTCTGAAATTCTGGGCCTTAATCTAACTAGACCTTGATTCGATTTTTCCTCATATTTTTTAAAAAGGACTTTGACCCTCCCAATTTTCCGCCATCAAAGCATTTACGGGCCGACACCTCAGCAGAAAAAAAAAAGATGAAGGAACCCCTTGGCCTACAAAAACAGAGCAAAGAACAGTTCAGGACAGTGTAAATATGAGAAGATAACCTTGGGTGGTGAGAAGGGTCAACAATTCGTACTTTGTACTTTGCGCCGAAAGTTCCGTTCTTTGCAGGAAAGATTATTTCGAAATTTCTTTGAGAATTTTTTTTGGTTGCAAAAAAATTTTTTTAAGATATAGTTAATCCTGAAAAAAAACTAACAAGAATTTAAGAAACCTTTTTTGGAACTTTCAGAAGGTCTGTAAAATTTTGGAAACTCACAAATTCTTTTATTTGTTTTCTAAAACCTGCCTGAAATCGAAAAGTCATCTAATGTTAACACTAGAACTTTACTAAAGTGGCAACTTCAAATAAAAACCCTTAAGTGGTCTCAAATGATCCCTTAAGTGATCACTCCTCACGGAATACTCACTAATATCAACGGTCATGACAACCGGCGGCGGTGGGACGTCGGAAGTACTCGGGACGGTCCCTTCGGAGCATTTGCCACGAAGCGCGATTGTCTCACCGGAGTCGGTTTCAAGTACTCCCTGAAGTGGGATAGAATTACTTAAGTAATCACTTCAGTAGTTGATCAGCTTTAAACTTGAAAAATTGAACTTCCTGGCCAAATTTATAGGCTAAAAAATCAAAAACTTTCAAATTTTCAAATTTAAACTCATTTATCACTAGTTAACTATTCTTTTTAAGATTGCTGAGCTTATTTTGAACCAAAAAAAATCAATTAAAGTTGAAAAAGACCTGAAATTTTGTGCCATCTTTGCTGAAAATGATCCGAGCCGTTCCTTGCTCCCGAAGGTCGCAGACGATTCCTTGACGTCGTCGGTGACTCATCTAAAAATATAAGATACTTAAGGAGTTCCTTAAGTTTATAGTATGGTCAAGAAAAACGCTTAAATAGGTCTAAGTGGGCGGAGCCGGAAACCATGCAATCTTTTCTCTATATCAGCAAAAATTTGGTCTCGAACGGAAGTTTTTAGGCTCCGCCCAGTGATTTTGAGAAATTTTATTATGAATTATAGGGAAAGAAGGAATATAAAAAATGAAAATGAAACGGTTTTATACAAGAATTACTCCAAAAGAAGGCAGAATAAGAAAAAATTTAGGAAGAAAAAAGGAATTTTAAACAATTTTCAGGCATGGACTTTAGGAAGTGGGAAGAAGCTGAAAAAAACGCTGGAAGTTGAAAAAAAGCAATTTTAATCTATATATTACATCAATTTTTGGCTGTAATCCAGTAGATCACAGTGTAAACTTCAAGAAAATTGACGAAAAAATGACCCGATGAAATAAAAGTTTTCGAGTCTAGTTTGACCTGACTTCTTATCAATTTTATCAGAATTTAACTCAGTTCCAATCATGAAAAAGTGATAAAAACTTGAAAATTTCGAGAAAAAGCGGTTTGAAAGTTCGAAAATCGATGCGTTGAACCTTTGAAAAACAAAACAAGAAGGAGGGTTATCAACAAACATATTTCTGAACAAAACAGTTGTTGTTTTATGAGAAAAAAAGAGCAGAAATATATTGAAAAGAAAGGAAAATTGATGAATTTTCAAAAAAACCAATAAATTAACAACATTTCAATAAAAAAATTTTATAAATTTTTTTGAATTTAAAAAAATATTTTTCAATTCTCACTTTTTTTTGAGGTTACAAGGTTTTTTTGTTTCAATAAGAAGAGCTGAAAAAAATAGAAAAAGTGAAAAATTAAAAAAATAGAAACGAAAAACCCACGAGTCATGCGTCGAATCTTTGCACGTGGGGTGGCGAAAAAAAGCGCGTGCGCCAAGAAAAATTTTTTTGAACTTTTTGACCTCATCCTTTGGTTTTTTTGAATTCTTATTCCTTCATTCATATAAATATAAAAAAAGTTTCCTGAAAAAAATAAAAAAATTCAACTTTAAGCTCAAAAAAAGAAGGAAAAGGACTTATTTCAAGAAAAAAGAAAGCACGTGGCGGCAGTGAAAAAACCCATGATTGTTGTTAAATGATAAGCAAAGGATCACGTTTTTTTCGTTTTATGAGAGAAAATTGGTTCGGAACCAAAGGAACAACGTTGATAACTCAAATTTATGGAAAAGAACTCGCGAAAAAACGAATTTCAGGCAGAAAATCTGATTGAAATCGAATAATTTTTCCATTTCCAAGATTTTGAAGGCTTTATTCAGAAATTCTAACTTGCGTGAAAGAAATTGAGTTCATTCTCTGTTTAAAAAAGATGAAGAATAGTCGATTCTCAACAAATCACCTCATAAAAATATTGAAAAGGCCTTTTTTTTCAATAAAAGGCCTATTTTAAAGCAAACGCTTCATAAATTAAATAATTTTCTACTTCAAACACGTCAGGAAGCTTTTTCTAACACAATATATGAAAAAAAGAACGCAACAAAAGTGATCTCTAGCAGAGAGTGAAGAAGCAATAAATGTCTCGCCAACCCTCTCAAAAGGACAACTCTCTCGCCACGCCAGAGGACCCAGTTTAAAAATTTTTGACGTCACGCCATTTGATTCGGGTCACGTTGATAGTTATATCGATTTAATCCAGAAATAGATATGACAAGAGGAAAGAAATCAGAGTTAGGAAAGCTGTTGAGAATTTCGACGAAAATTCGATGTTAATTCTATGTAATTTGTTGATAATAGTGATGAAAAATGTTAAAAATCAGCGCATGTTATTTCTAATAATGAGAAGTACGAAGTAAAAACAAGAACACGATGAAAAAAATTTGTGAAAAAAATAAAAAAATGTGAAAAAGTTTAATTTTTTTATAAAATATTTCGACTTACTGTATTTGCCGGCGTCGCAGGCACCCTCCGACCTTTCGCATGATGGGAAAGTTGAAAAAATTTAATTTTTGTCTTTTTGTTTTGTTGTAAATATTTTTGCCAGTTTTTGGGAAAAAGAGCGAATTTATAATGTAATTTGAGAATTCAGGAATTAGTGGTAAACAATTTTCTGCTCATTTTTTTATTTATTTTACTCGGAACAATTGATTTTTTTGATCACGTTTTTTTCTCATTTGTTTTTTTGTTTCTTTTATCCGTTAGAAAATCTATTTTTATCTATTTTCGAATTTTTTTAAGTACCACTCTGCTAGGTAATTAACAGAAAGTTTCATAAGCTTATTTTTGTCCTTATAATCTCTGTTAAACTTCAAAAAGCGTTTATAATTCAAAATTCTCGTTTTTGCTTCTCTCATTTATTTTTGAACTTAAAACAAGATTTTTTCAGCATATGTTGCGATGAACCGAACCCTGTCACTGCGTCGGAAGGTGAAAAAGACGGAAATATCGTCGCCTTCCAACTTCGAGCATCGAATCCATGCCGGCTACGACGCCAGAACTGGCACCTATACGGGGCTTCCTAAAGTGATCAATAATTATCGATTTGAGGATAATAATATTTATTTTTTCAAGCAATGGCAAGCTCTACTAGGGCCACCACGTTCTTTATCCGGCCGACCAAAACCGATGGTCGATCCTTCCTGTATAACTCCGGTGGATGTCGCCGAGTTAAAAACGGTTATCAGAGGGCCTGCTTCGAGGTTCTTGTAAGCTAAATAAATGAAATGAAAGTCTATTTTGAGATATTCCACGCCACAGCCGCCCAGCGTCGCCCGGAGCAATAGTCTTCGGGTTATTCCGTCACCTATTGTTAACGTTTCACATCGACATGTTAACCGGCCACCTCCACCGCCAGCCCCTTCACCGTTAGTTTCAAAAAAATTTTTTTTCACGGCTTGCTTGAGAAAAAAAGTTTTGAAATGAAAATGGGGACTCTCCCCATGCGCCTTTAATAGTGTTTTCATTTTTTGGCCGTGAGAAGGGGATAAAAAAGTCTCGTGGTGAAATAAAATTGGGGAACCCATGCGCCTATAATATGATATTGTTTTAAGCCGTTAGAAGGTGAGAAAAAGTCTCGTTTTGAAATGAGGCTGGTGATTGTCATCAACTCCTTTAATAGTGATCTTGTTTTTGGCCGTAAAAAGTTAAATAAAAAAGATCTCATTATGGAATAAAGTTGGGGAACCCGTGCGCCTTTAATAGTAATCTTTTTTAGGGCCATGAGAGTTAATTAAAAAAAAATCTCGACGTGAAAATAAATCGCAGTGACTTTTTATGAGCTTTTGATATCAATCTTATTCAGGCCGTGAGAAGTTATCTCTAGAAAAAATCTGGCCGTGAAATAAAATTGTGATATCTCCCCATGCCTCTTTAATAGTAATCTTATTCAGGCCGTGAGAAGTTAATTTTAAAAAATAGCGTGGTGAAATGAAGTTGCACAGGCTTCTCATGCGCCTTTAATATTAATATTATTTTAAGCCGTGAGAAGGTGATAAAAAAGTCTCGTTTTGAAATGAAACTGGGAACTCTCTCCATGCGCCTTTTAATATTAGTCTTATTTAGGCCGTAACAAGTTAATTTTGAAAAAAATCCCGTCGTAAGATTAATCACAGTGCGCCTTTATAGCAATCTTATTTTAGGACTTAGGAAACTAATTTTAAAGGCGCATGGCGATAAGCTGTAAGGTTATTTCATTTTTCGTTCTGGGATTTCTTGAAAATTGGCACGACTACTCTTTGATGAACTAGGAAGTGATCCTGAAAGTTGTAAGCTTTATAATTTCCAAGTATTCGAGAAAAAAATAGAAAATGCAAAGTTCAGGAGACTTGGAATTATATTTCAAAAAAATTCATAGAGAAAAAAATGACAGTATCTTATTTGGGAAGATCCATGTATTTTGACGTTGAGCGCTTTTTTTAAATAACTTTCTGTTGGTATTTTAATTTTATACAGTCATTCGAACACATTGAATGAAAAATTTGTATGTACTTGAATAATTATAAAAAAATAAAGTTGAAAAAAACAAATTTTTTTCTTTGAAATACCCGTTTCAAGCAAGCGACTGTAACTCGGATTTCTAAACAAGAAAAAAAAAATATTAAAAAAAAATTTAGAATAGTTCGGCCGGTGAACATCTCCACCACGTCCTCCCAAGTTCCGATTCAACATCGTGGATATCCGTTTAATGACCCGAATTATGCGCCCCTTCCACTGCGCAACAGTACGGTGGTTGTACAGAAAACGACGACTTTTGGCCCGGAAAATGTTGGTTTTTAGTTGGATTTTGAAAAAAAAAAAGGTTCAGAAGATTTTAAAAAGAGTTTCAGGAGTTTAGAGCTTCATTATCGTTTTTTTGATCTGCCAAAAATTGAATTAATAGAGGAAAAAGTTGTTCCCTGATGTTGAAGACTTCAAAGGATTTTTTGTGAAAGTTGAAAAAAAAATAACATTTTAGGGAAATCTAAGCCCCCAACGGACAATTTCGGAAAACTCCTATAGAAGTCCTGTTCGTCTGGACGATGCGGGAAATTTCAAGAATTTTCAGGTGATTTTGAGGCGTAAAAACCGTGATTTCATTTTTTCAAAGGAACTTTTTTTAAAGGTGAAACTTGTTATTTCCACTTTTTCGGGTCTTCAGAACTTGAAAAAATGTTATAAATGCTCCAAAAAAAAATGCTTTTTTTCAGGGGTTTTTGAAGGTGTAAAAATGATCTTTTTCAATTTTTCAGTTTATATCCATTTCAATAATATTCTTCCTTCACAGGCAGGAAAAAAATAAAAAAATAAAAATAGAATAATGAATATAAACTTAGAAGAAGCAAATAAAAAAACAAATTGCGGCCCTTTTTATGGGGAAAAATTGAAGATTTTACACTTTTAAGTAGATTTTTTTGACTAAAAAAATGTTTTTCCACTGATTTTTCGTACAGAACTGTTCCGGAAGTCCCCAAAATTTAATAGAATAATGAATATAAACTTAGAAGAAGCAAATAAAAAAACAAATTGCGGCCCTTTTATGGGGAAAATTGAAGATTTTACACTTTTAAGTAGATTTTTTTGACTAAAAAATGATTTTCCACTGAATTTTCGTATAGAAAATTGTTCCAGAAGCCTCCGATCCACACCTCTCCCAAAATTCTGAGTTATCCTACCTCGAATAATTCCTCGCCGGCAAAGTCGCTCAACGGCGAAGTTTCCTATGATGAGGTGGAATATTCGAAAAAATAAGAGAATAAATAAATGAACTTCCAGTTTCGGAAAGCTCTCCGATTCGTCGTCGATGGAAGTGATCCCCGCAGTGATTTGGCCGATTTCAAGCAAATCGGCGAAGGGTCGACGGGAATCGTCCAGGCGGCATATAAGGTGAATTTGAAGGATCTTTGACGGATTTAAGTAAAAAAATTAAATTTTTTTCGTTTTTTTCACAACCCATGAGTCAGGGAGTAGATTGAAATTAGATAAAAAAATCAATAATTTTATGATTAATTTTTTTATATTTGACTTCAATAATGGGTATAATTTTTTTGAAAAAAACGTGTTTTTGTTCATATTTTTCTTGATCCAATATGTTTCAGAGGATCTTCTGATCACAGATGTTTTGTAAATAAATTCAAAGAAAACAGCTTTTTTTCAGAAATTTACCAACAAAAATTAGATTTTTATAGAACCCCTGACTTAAGAAGTATTGAAATAAGAGGAAAATCGGAAATTGTGAAGGTTATTTTTCCTATTAAACCTCAATAATGGATATACGCGTTGTTTTTTTCATATTTTTTTAGATTCTTTACATTTTTTTAAGGCCTTGCTGATCATGATCTTGACATTTGTTCCAAAAAATAGCGTCGTCTTTTCAGAAATCCACCCAACAAATCGTGGCCGTCAAAAGGATGAATCTGAAAAAAAGCAACAGAGAAGGGAGCTTCTTTTTTTAACGAGGTGACTTTGAATGAAAAAAAGATGAAATATTATAAAAATTTGGCCAGTTTCGAGTTCAGATGAAAGTTCTTTAAAGAATTTTTTTGATATAAAAATTTTTCTAGCATGCTTCTTGTCGTTTTCAAGGATAAAGGTTGATTTGAATTTTCAAAAAAATGCTCTTTTTTTCAGTAATTTACAAAGTTTAAATCTTCTAGACCCTTAAAAATTCCGATGAAAGTAAAAAATTTTTTTCCAAAAATTTCAATTTTGCCTAGCATTTTTTTGTAGTTTTTTTCAGTGATACAGGTCGATTTGGAAAAGAAAAATGCTCTTTTTTTCAATCGTTAAAAAAAGTTCTGATATTTTTAGACCAGTAAAATTTGAAGGAAGGTAGTTTAAATAATTTTATCGACTTTTTAAAGTTTGTCTATAGCACTTTTATAGTCGTTTTCAGTGATAAGGGTCGATTTAAAAAAATTGGAAATGCTCTTCTTTCAGTCTTTTAAAAAAATTCTGATATTTTAAACCGTTAAAATTTGATAGAAAGTCTTTTTAAATAACTGTTTTTTTAAGATTCGAAAGTTGTATTGAGCATTCTTCTAGTCGCTTTCAGGTATACTGGTCGGTTTAAAAATCAGTAAATGCTAATTTATCAGTTTAGAAGCTTCTCAATCATTTTTGACGATATTTTAATTTTCAACGTTGAGTTACCATTTAAGGTGTCGATTCTCCGAGATTACCAACATCCGAACATTGTTCGTATGTACTCATCCCATCTGATTGACGACGAATTGTGGGTCGTCATGGAGTTCATGGAAAGCGGGTCCCTTACCGATATCGTCACCACGACTAGGTAAATTTTCTAGAAACAGCAAAAATCAACAAAAGGCGTTAATTTTAGAAGAATTTGTATAGAGATCTCGGAAATTTTTCAATTAGTGGCCACTTGACTATAATTTAGCCGCCTCTTTCGAAGTCTAAATGGGACTACTAGACCACTAAAAACTACTTTAGGGACTACTAGACCACTGAAAAACTACTTTAGGGACTACTAGACCACTGAAAAACTACTTTAGGGACTACTAGACCACTAAAACTACTGTAGGGGCCACCACGACGCAAAATAGTGACATATATATTTTTAGTGGTCACTTTAGTGTCAAAGTAGTTCTTGAGGAACCTCTTAAGTGCCCGCTGAAGTTTTTTACAGATAAAGCCAGCAAAAATGGAAATTTCTCTCCAAGCCAACAATTTTCGAACACTCATAAAATTCCCATTTTTGGGAATTTCATGAGTGTTCGAAAACCTCTGTAGGAAATTCAAGTTAAGTTTTCATTGTCACTGGGAAAAGCCCTATTGGCCGCTTGAAAGGCCCCTTAAGGGCTACTCGGAATGCCACTAAAACCACCTCTTCAGAAGCAACTTCTTTGCGTCATAGCGGCCACTATAGTAGTTTTTTGGGGCAGTGCCACTCCGGCTCCTAAAAAATTAACTCTAAATTTCAGTCGTCTAGCTAAACTGTTTAATGTTCTAAAGAGGCCACTGAAATTTAGTCACCTAACTGGCCATTGATTCGACTACTATAGAGACCAATAAAACATAAAAACCCTGAATTGGTCACTATATGTTTCCACTGTACTTTTCCAGGATGACTGAGCCTCAAATTGCGACGGTAGCCAAGCAAGTTCTACTCGCTTTGGAGTTTCTCCATGCTCGAAGAGTTATCCATCGAGATATCAAAAGTGATTCGATCCTGTTGAAACGCGATGGAACTATCAAGGTGTCCCATAAGCTTTTTTGAGTATAAACCCGAATTTTTTAAGCTATCGGACTTTGGATTCTGCGGCCAATTGTCGGATGAAGTCCCCAGAAGGAGATCGTTGGTTGGGACGCCTTATTGGACAGCGGCTGAGGTTTGAAATGAAGAAAAATGGGGACTTTAAGCTTTTTTGTGAGTTTATTAGATTTATCAGAACCTAGGCTATATAAAATGTGTTAGAAGTCCGAATAAACCTTGAAAAGTCAATAAAATGAGAAGAATCTGATTTTACAGTGTCGGTTTCAATTGAAAAAATGGGTTGAGATTGTTAAAAACAATCGTTTTTTGGCGGAGGTAAATTCTAAGCATTGAACTGTTTGTTACCTTGAAGGGGAATGAAATTTTGGGAAAAGGTACCTTTTTTAATTGGTGAGGTTGCCTGTAACCATACATCAGTTCCACCCCACCTTTTTTTGAGCGCGAAAAAATTTCAAAAATGTACGGAAATAGGCCGTTCTTTTTTTGAGGGGGGTCTAGCCGACGTAGGCCTGTAACTCGTTAATCATTGAGAAGAAAAAAACATGTTAAGAGTTTAGGTAATCGCCCTGGGAGCCCTATGATACCCGGGCGGATATCTGGTCGTTCGGGATCATGTTAATAGAGATGGTCGAAGGGGAACCTCCTTACTTCAACGATCAACCTTTTCAGGTAAAAAACAATCTTGAAAAAATCAGAATTGTTTTTTTAGGCGATGAAATTGATCCGGGATCAACCGGCGCCCACGTTCAGCCGACACGCCAATGTAATTTTTTAATTTTCCGAAAATACTGACGAGGGATCACTTAAGAGGAATTAGGAACTGTGGAAGTGAGTCCTTGAGGGGTCAGCTTGATAAAGAAGAACCTAGTTTCCTAGCGATTTTTCGTTAAAGCCTTCAGAAGTACTGGGAAAACGTTAGTGGTCACTTAAGGGGCTCCTTAAGGGCTACTTGGAGAGGACGCTAAAGTGGCCACTAAATCAATCTCTATGGGAGTCACTATTTTGCGTCTAGTGGTCACTATAATGGTTTTTGGTAGTCTAATACAATTTAGACTGCTAAAGTGGTCACTAAATTATAGTCACTTAAGTGGTCACTAATTTGACTACTATAGGGGCCATTAAAAGATTGAAACCCTAAAGGAGTCACTCAAAGTTTTCCCAGTAGTTGAGGTTTCTTTGGAAATTTTTCTAGGCGTTTATAAAACCAGAAGAAAGTCAAAGTGATCACTTGAGGGATGAAAACAGTCCCTTGAGGGAGAATTTTTCCTAGAAGTTTTTCCAGTAGCCCCTTAAGAGTTTAATATAGGGTTTCTTGTAGGAAATTCCCTCAAATGGCCACTTTTTAATAAATTATTTAGGGGACACTGTAGAGTTGAAGGAAGTTCACTTAAGTGACCTCTTTCCTAAGCTCTTGAGCAAAAAATGAAGGGACCACTTAAGAAGAAAAAAAGGAGAGACGACTTTTTCTCACTAAGTTATCGAAAAAGGTCAGATTTCCCCATTTTCAGGTCTCAGAAGAGCTCTCCGACATGCTGTCCCGTTGCGTGGTGAAGGACGTAACGCGGCGCTGGTCGGCTGCAGATTTACTCAGGCATCCGATGACGTCACGGGCTCAGCAGCCAGCCATCTTGGCGCCGTTGATCCTGAGGAATCAAGCCAATCCGTAGATGGATTTTTTTTTGGCCGCATTTGGAATGGCTCATTTTTTGAATTTGTGTCTTTTTCTAAAGCTTTATGATCGCATTTGGAATGGCTCAAAGCGTTTCGGTTGCTGTCATCGTTTGTATTTGTATCTGTTGATTTTCAAGCTTTATGACCGCAATTGGAATGGTTCGGAGCGTTGCGGTTGCTGTCATTTTTTTTTGAATTTGTATCTGTGGATTTTAAGCTTTATGACCGCATTTGGAATGGTTTGAAGCGTTGCGGTTTCTGCCATTGTTTGAGTTTGTATCTGCTGATTTTCAAGTTTTATGGTCGCATTTGGAATGGCTCAGAGCGTTGCGGTCGAAAAAATTGGCGCTTCAATTTATTGCACGCGACTTTTACTGACTGTCTTCCCAAGCTGAAAGTTGCCTCTGCGCAAGTCGCTTCAAGGTCGGGCGCAAATTCAAACCCTTCCGCGACGTGCTGCTCCAGCCACCTTGATTTTATCATTTTTTGTCATTTTCTGCATATTTCTCACCGTTTTCTCATAATTTCCTAGCATATTTTACCACTTTGTGCCTTTTTCTCATCGAATATCACTTATACAACATCTTCAATTTGTAAATTTTGTTTGTAAAAATCGAATTTTTCTGTTCAATTTCAGTTAATTTCCCTCAGCTTGCTCATTTCCTCCACGTTGCCTTTTATTTTCTAACTACGCCTTGTATATTTTTTACTTATTTCTATACATAATCTAACCCTTCCTATGATGAAAAGTATTTTGTTCTTGGAAACTTTAAACTTTAAATATTTTACGGGTGAAATGAATGAATTTGTTTTTCTTTGGCTTTTTTGGATATTTTTTTGTTTTTTGCTTCTTTCTACGAAAGGTACTTGAGAGAAAAGCTCTGAAAAAGTTTGAGAATCGTTTTTTCAGAAAAGTTCATAGGTTTAGGCTTTTATTTTTGATTTCAGCTCTTTTCAAGCACCTTTTTTGAGCTCCATTGAGGTCGGATCGGCTCCGAAAGATCGAAGAAGTGAGTTTTTTTTACTTTGAATTTTTTTTTTCAATGGAAAATGGTGCTACAAGGTTAATGAAGAACTACGAGATTTTATGAAAATAAATTGAAAAAGCATATTTTTTTGATAAATCAAGAAATATGCTTCTGAAGTGACATTTTAATAAATGAAAAAAATCAAAATGCTAGGAATTTTGAAATTTTCAGTGAATAAATAAATTAAGTTTACATTTGAGATCGGAATTTTTTTAAAAATCTAAAGTTGATTTGGAACTTCAAAATTAGAAGAAAAAAATAGACCTGGACTTTTTAAAAAAATTATACCTTTTACTGGACCTCTTAAAGAACTTAAGGGAAATTAGGGTTTTTAAAAAGTTTATCATTTTTTTTTGTATTCTAATATTCTGCAAGAAAACCTTGAGAACATCGAAGCGTTTTTCGAAAAATATTGGAAAATCTTTTTTTTTTTCAACTCTAGATTTCCATAAGCTACTGTGAATGGACTACAATCGAAAACGCGATTTTTTCAAACTCTTGGTTCCAATGAACCTTGAGGGATCGCTGTGATAAGATTGATTGGACTTGACCCGAGTAGTCTGGCATTTTTTTCCTGAACCGAACAACAATGTTGAACTTTCGGAACCTCCGGCTGCAGAAAAAGAGAAAAAAAGAACAGGGGAACATGTAGCAAAGTGAAATGAAAATGAGCTGTTCTCGGTGATAAGCGATTGATCATGAGTGGCAGCTGCAGCACATCGATCGACACACACACAACTGTCGGGCCTCACTCCCCTCGTCCAGCTCCCCCACTGTCCATTAGGTCGGAACAGCGAGATAAATAAATGCTTGTTTTTGCGTGACTGCTCTTTGTAGGTTTTCTGTAGAGTGCGGACAGTTCGGAAGGCTTTTTCAGGGTCGGAAAGTCCGAATAAACAGAAAAAAACCGTCCGAGAGATCACTTTAGAACCTTCTACTCTTGTTACCACTCCAAGTGTCCTCTTGTTATTGTTCCAAGCCCTTTGTTGAGCTCATCTTTTGGAAGTCTTCCAAGGGATCACTCTAGGAGCCTCTATACCTTGTTAACTTCCCATCTTATAGAGGTCACTTTAGGAACACTGTCGATTAGGTCGGAACAGCGAGATAAATAAATGCTTGTTTTTTTGTCGCGTGTCTGCTCTTTGTAGGTTTCCTGTAGAGTGCGGACGGTTGGAGGAAATCTTATTGGATTCAATAGTGACCACTTAAAAAGCGTCTATTAGTTTCTATCCTCTGAAGTGGTCGCACTTTAAAGGGATCACTCTAGGAACACTGTTATTTAGATCGGAATGTTAACTTTTCATGTGTATGCCCTTTTAGGTTTCTTGTAGAGTGCGGACAGTTGGATAGAACCTTTTAGGATTAAAGAATGAGGTAGGGCAGTGAAAATCTTCCTAGGGACCACTTAAGAAGCCTCTATACCATGCCAATCTCTTAAGTGCTCGCATTTTACAGGGATCCCTTTAGGAACACTGTCCTTTAGGTCGGAATGTTTATTTTTCCCTTGTCGGCTTTTTGTAGGTTTCCTGTAGAGTGCGGACAGTTTAGAAGGCTTTTTCAGGGTCGGAAAGTCCGAATGAACAGAAAAAACCGTCCAAGAGACCACTTTAGAACCTTCTACTCTTGTTACCACTCCAAGTGTCCTCTTATTAATGTTCCAAGCCCTTTCTTGAGCTCATCTTTTAGAAGGCTTCCAAGGGATCACTCAAGGAGCCTTTATACCTTGTTAACTTCCCACTGTCCATTAGGTCGGAACAGCGAGATAAATAAATGCTTGTTTTTTGTCGCGTGCTCTTTGGAGGTTTCCTGTAGAGTGCGGACGGTTGGAGAGGACCTTTTAGGATTAAAAAATGAGGTAGAGCAGTGAAATTCTTCCTAGGGACCACTTAAAGAGCCTCTATACCATGCCAATCTCTTAAGTGTTAACTTTTTTTTTTCGTGTCCTCCTTGGTTTTCTGTAAAGTGCGGACAGTTCGAAAGGCTTTTTCAGGCTTTTGAAGTCTGAGTGAATGGAAAAAGTCTTCCGAGTGACTTCTATAGGCCGGTATTTCAAAATTCACTCTAGGGACCACTTAAAAGGCCTCTATAACTTGCTATCCTCTCAAGTGCTCGCATTTTACAGGGATCACTTTAGGAACACTGTCCTTTAGGTCGGAATGTTTATTTTTCCCTTGTCGGCTCTTTGTAGGTTTCCTGTAGAGTGCGGACGGCTTTTTCAGGCTTTAGAAGCCTTCCGAGGGACCACTTTAGGGCTTTCTACATTTTGTTATCATCCTACGTGTGTGCCTATTACAGCTTCCTAAGAGATCTTCAAAGCGGTCCTGAATATTTTCATAAAGCCTTAGAAGGTTACAATCAAGTTATAATCCCCTGTAGTACATTTAAGAAAGTGAAGAATTTCAAAGCTTTTGTGAATGATCATTGTACTTTCGGAATGGTTTTATGGTGCGAATAGTTTTGGAAAGCCAGTAAGATTAATTTGGAGCATCTTCCTTTTCTCATCATACTAAGTGTTCGTTTTTTAGAGGTTTAAAAAATTCACCCTCTAAGAATTTAAAGCTTTTGAGATTTTCTATTAGTGGACTCTATTGCAATTATTTCCATTTCAAGCTGATATGGGCCTTTTTTAAAAGATGAAAATCTTTAAATTTATGAAAGTTCTTTTTACTTCAATAAACTTCAATGAGGAAAAATTAAGATGTCTCAAATTTTCTGTTTTAAAAAGCTCAAGTTGTGAGTTAGTCGTTATAGGATTTATGGAATTTATTTATAGAAAGGAAAATTGCCAAGTGGTTGGATTGGATCTCAAAATGAGTTGAAGTTTTGCACTAAAAACAACCATTCTTCATCCAAATTTTCATTTTCAACTGAAAGGGCAGATTCGAGCTTTTCCTGCGAGTTGAATGGGTCTAAATATAGACCTATTAGAAGAAATATTTTTCAATAAGATCCCTTAAATGGACACTTAAATTACCTGTGACGAATCAAATATCGAAGATTTTTCTCTTAAAGCCCATTCTATCCACTTTTTCCTCAAATATTGTTAACCTCTTCAAGCGCTCCTTGAGTGACTACTTAAGTGTCTACGCGCTCTATGAGTGTCCTATCCTTTCTTTCTGCTGCTTTTTAACTTCTAGTAGCTGAAAAAAAAATGCTTAGTCGTCCTTTAAGTGGTCACTTGCGACATTCTCAATTGTTTTACCTGTATGATATGATACGACTTCCGAGCTTCGGGTAGAAATTGAAATATTAGTATAGCCCTCCTTTAAGGGACCACTTGTGATGTTCAAATTTTTTTTTTCAACCTATCCATTTGATTTTATACGTCTTTGAGAAGCTTCAAGCTTCAAGTAGGCATTGAAAGATAAGTCAAGTGGCCCTTTAAGGGATCACTTGTGGTAACCCCCAAAAAACTGGTCGATACGCCCTTGAGAAGTTTCGAGCTTCCGGTAGAGGTTGAAGTAGGAGCTAAGGGATCTTTTAAGTGACTACTTACAGTATCCTAGGAATCAATGAAACAAAAGTGCAAATCTAAAGCTTTTTGAGAGCTGTTTCCCCTAAAGAGACCACTTGCGATTCTATTAAATAATTAAACCTTTTTCTAACCTTTCTATTTGATTTGATAGGTTCTTGGAGAGTTTAGAGGTTTCGCTAAAAGTCTCTTAAGTGACCACTTCGAGTATCCTTCGGTACAATAGAGCAAGCTTTCAAGCTTACGGTAGAAGTTGAAGCAGGACCTAAGGGATCCTTTAAGTGACCACTTCCAGTATTCTCCGTTCAATAAAACAAGCTTTCAAGCTTTCGATAGAAGTTGAAGCAGAACCTAAGGGATCCCTAAAGTGACCACTTCGAGTATCTTTCGGTACAATAAAGCAAGCTTTAGAGCTTTCGGTAGAACGTGAAGGATGACCTAAGAGATCCTTTAAGTGACCACTTCCAGTATCCTCCGTTCAATGGAACACGCGTTC